TATTTCTGAAGTAAAATGTTTAGTCAACTGATACTTTTTGCTATGATAGCAGGCCTTTTATATCGTTTACCAGAAATTGTAACGTGACTAATTGCTACTGTAACACGTTAAGATTAGCCGTATCTGATTTTTTCGATGCACTTTCGAGATTGAGGATAGTTAAAAATTTGCAATGGCAAAAGAGTTATTAATTCTTTACTTTGCTTATGTATAAGGGCCAAAGACCATTGTTGGCACCTATGAAATTAATTGTAATTTTAAATGCTGAATGACATCCTGCGATGAAATATCTAGTGAAGTCTACCCATCCACTAAATAATTGCATAGTGAACTAAGCCCTAATATCCTATGTAGATAAGGAAACCTATGCCATCGTACTTGTTAAAGAACCTCGTAACTGTGCTCTTATTGCACTGGCAAGCAAGTTTGGATTACAAAATTGGTGTGAGACACCGTAGGGCAAGTACCCGCTGTTCTATCGTATGTCAGAGGAGTCACTGATTAGATTGGCTATATCTTTAAACAAAACTTACGGTGGTAGGGCCACGCAACAGCCCCGGCTGTTGCACAAATGGGCAGGCTCGTCCAGGTAAGTACCACGACCTCACAGAAGACCGGCGTAAAGTGGAAGTAAAATACTTTCGCGTTTCGTCTGGTGAGTAAGGTGGCTGGAGCCCAATTTTCAAAAAGTTGTCAACGCATCTGGAACCCTCGAATGTAGCAGATTTTCATGGGCGGCGATATTCACTTAACAACAGGTGAACCGTCTGCTCGCTTGGCAACTTTTCGCATAAAAATAAAAAAATTTTTCGACAAGCACATTTTACAAACTGCTAAATAAGAATAGTCAGTTTTTATCTGGCAAGTGCAATATCTCTGTGGAAGATCCCGCAGTATATAAGATTAGTCAAGCATGTACACTGTTGGATAGTGAATGTGGGCTTACATGACTGTAGACTTGTTTGATCTATTACGTAATTAAAACAATAGACCAAACAAGTCTATAGTCTGTGAGCACAGCTTAAATCGCACGCCCAACCACTACATCAAGTTTGATAGACCACAGATCCTTTTAAAAGAACATCGATTCTAGAGACCATTTAAATAAATAAAAAATACCCTAATTTCAATTTCTAACCACGGACGTAAGACGCCATATTATTTTTGGATACTGTCCGCTTGAGTGGCTAAAAGAGGGTTTGGTGCTATTATGAGCTTGGTATCTTATCATCAATAAAATTGAATCTAGGTCCAAGCGAACCACCATCGTACAACAAGATGAAATAAGCACCTACTACGTATATCAAAAACAAAATGAAAAATTAAAAAGTGACGGTAGCTCGGGCTTACCATGACATTCAGGTGTCCGATGCCTCAGTTAGTCCCGTGATCATGCACTGAAAAGAGTTCGGGAACTAAAATTAAAAATGGACGTGATAAATCCTTAAGTTTAGTTACTTAACTATATTTGCTTTCGTAAATTGTGTTTAGCATGAAAATTACACAAAAATTCACAAGGAATTCATTGTGTAGAAAGTTATACGAGTTGTGACAACTCGACCACTGAATATTGCCTACATGACCATGGTCAAAGTTATTTTACGAAATATAGCGGTGGTTTTCGTTCGGCTTTCATGTTTACAAAGCATGCGAATGTAGCGAAGTGGTTTATAAAAAACATGGACATGGCATTGTTCCTGTTGTATGATTCAAAAGATCGGTGAAATAGAATTTAGAAACTGAAATAGAATTGAATTAGAATTTAAATAGTTATACCGCATTATCCCGCATCATTAATAACCAGCACAAGTCGATATCATTTCACAATAACTGAACTTTTAATTTTATAAAACACATCATTCATTCTGTCAAGTTATTTATCTCTTCATGTGGCTTCAAGAACGATCTTAATGAAATTTAAATAGGCCCTGCGGTTGTTGGGTGGTAGATACACTGCGCAGTCTTTTAAAACCTTCCTCTCGAGCATATCCGATGTTTGACCAATCGGGTTTTAAATCCAGCGATCGAGCAGGACACGGCAGAAGTTCAATATTATCTTTTAATATAATCTGCAAGAGACATTCGTCAGTCTTTCTGGCTGTATGGCAACTAGTATTGCCTTGTATTAGAGAAAAATGTGAGCCATTACTATGTGAAAAGAGAAGAACATGTGACCACAGAATGTTTTTACTCATTTATGAAAATAAGGTCAATTCGCCTGTCCTTCGTGGTTCCCACCCAAACCTTTACTGCTGAACAACTGTATGGATAAACGTTCCGATCACACCTCAGTCGTGGCTGTCTCCAGCACGTTTCTAGGACTCCTCACGAATGCGGTCTAATTCACTTCGTCACGAAATAGGACTTTATCGCTCTCTCGGTTCTTTTTTTTTAAACTTTGCCCTTAATTTAGGATAACTTTATCCTGTGTTGTAAGGACGTTTTACAAACATAAATTTCACGTGGACAAACACCCAGATACGAAACAACTATCTGTGGGTCCTACAAATTGTTGTGAAGTCTGTTTCGCATAGTTCGGGGTCTATCAACATCAGTTGAATTTTGAAGCCTTAGCCTTATATCTCAGGCGCTGATCATAGGTTGATGATTGCGGTGAGTTGCATGAAACTTTATGCAACCTTATCTTGCCTAACCTTTATCTTGCCTAACTTTATGCCCCCGTGAAACTTTCTATTATTAAAAAAACAAACATCATTATCGAAACAAAATCTTGGGGCTATTGAAATAAAAAAAAATATTTTTTCAAACATTTGAATATGTTATTTATTTAAAATAAAAACAAACACCCCAACAATGCTAGAAATTAAAATACTGCAAGCTTGTTCTAAGTAGCAAAGTAACAGCCTAAACATGCCCCACTGTTCCGCAAAGGCAGAGAGTATCAGGTTAGTCCACTTTTAATTTATTTATTATTGTATAATTATTTTTTTTTTTGGTTTCTTCACGGTGTTTTCCTTCACCGCGGTGCACGTGATAAGTCAGCACTTAACTTAAATTTATATTTATCCGTGTATATTGTGACAAAAATAGCAGAAAATTATACATTTATATAGGTAATTCATATAAAGAAATACTGAATTTAAATATCAGATTTATGTTTCATCGCGTAAATCTTACCAGTTGAGCGTAATAGTAGTTTTCCAGTTCCTAACTGTACTGCATGCTATAGGAACTTTAAACTACGATTATTTTTTAAATAGTGTCAAAATAAATAATTTAATTAAGGTGTACCTATAACTATATGTATAAGGTAAGGTTGAATTTAACAAGGATTTTGTATTACATAAAATTCTTTTCGTGAAAAACAGGATTATTAATTTATGTAGTAGTTCACGTATATGTATATGTGCCAGCATCGAACCCACGTCGTGACGTGAAGTGGCTTCAATGCTCACACGTACCGAAACACTATGTTGAATATCTTTATATATATCCTCCTAAACCGATTACAATGAATGTTTTTGTGTGTGTTCAGGTCGATTCGAGAATGGTTTAGACTCACAATTTTTTTTAAGTTATTGGATTTAAGGTCTGTGTACAGCTGTAGATAAAGTCTGCCCCATGTCAATGTTTACTTTGTGCCAGCATGGACGTAAAAGCATCGCATGCGCTACAAGCAATTCAAGTTTACAAGAATCTGATTTAATATATTAGGTCAAATTATTCAACCAATTGGGGCGACCTTTTACTATTAATGCGCCTTATGTAATATATGCTAACCAGTATTGGATATTTAAATTCAAAAGACTTTGTCATTTATCAATTATTGAGAAACTTGTGTAAAAGTAGATATATACTCTTTCTATTTTAATCGCCTGAAATCATAATAATGATAGTAATAATGATAGATTAGGGTTTTAATAAACAAAATATACATGTTACATTATATAAAAAATGTCATTTTCAAAACTAAACATTATTATGAAATGTCGAAATAAGTAAACACTATGTGCTTATAGCGATACTATTTAATATTGACTTTTTACAAAATGTTGCGGTGAAAAATAAACTCTTTTCATTGGATTGAGCAATATTTATTTGAACGTGTAGTTCGATTATATTATTATGATTTTAAAACTTCTATTTGATCTGTAACTAGTGGCTTCCACAACTTATTTTTTATTTTAGCCTTTGTTATGGACAATTTATTGTTTATTATTTTTTATTGTTCTTATTACATATTTACAAGAGCCGTGATAGCTCCGAGATAGCCGGGCGCTCGCCTTTAATTCTATATACTCGGGCAACCTGAGTTCGATCCCCGGTGCTGGCACCAATGAAGTTTTTAACTTTAAGTGCTGACTTATCACGTGCTCCGCGGTGAAGGAAAACATCGTGAGGAAACCTGCATATTTTCGAAATAGTAATAAAAAAATATATATTTCGAAAATATGTGAAGTCCGCCAATGTGAGAGCCAAGATATGTGATTTAGTACCTACATAATTATAAACTGAAAGTAGGTTTCTTTTCAATTAGCTCATAATGGGAATTTTTGAGACAATGAAACATAGTAGTTTTTTATTAATGTTTATAATTGAATGGCCCGTTACTAAACATTTAGAACTTAACTAATAGGTCCATTTTAGTAACGATGGTGATGGTGCGGTACAATATGATGGGTGTCGTATTTCACATCGGCGTGGAAACTGAAACAAAATAAAAAAAGTAAAATAAATTAGACTAAATTAATTAACTACTTTAAGACTTAATTTTATGTGAACGGACCACGCAGCAGATTCTACTGTAGTACCAAGGTTTCACAGCGGGTGGTAAATTTGCAGAGTGGAGGGAAAAATTGGAAGTTTACGTTCGTATCCTATTTGGTGAATGAGGTATCCGTGGTCCTTTTCACAGGGTTGATAATACATCTGCAAGTCCTAAGGTGTTGTAGGTATTTATAGTAACGCCGTCTTTTCACATAAAGATATAAAAGTATAAAACGGAGCATGTCCTCGAAATGAAATAAGTTAGATTCTTACCCGCTGTGGTGATCACCATGATAGTCAACATGTCTGACGGAACCATCGGGCTGATGCAGCGAATAGCCCCCCTTCACAGCATCACCGTCGCGGTGCTCATGCTGCGATTTGATGTCGCCTGTGTGATGATCTTCCACTTTGTAGTCAAACTCGTATTTGGGATGCGTCTGAAATGTACAGTTATCTTTAAGATACTCGTAAATCAATTGCAAATCGTTATTTTTCTCGCTTTGCAGCTCAAAATGCTGCCTGCTGATGGAATTTGGATAAAATTTTATTGAGTAAATGAGAAAAATACACGCTCTGTGATTGAAACGTTAAAATACTTACGTAGTAATCATGATCATGGCCATGTTCGTGGTGTACTACGTGGTGATGTCCATCATGGCGCGAAATGTGATTCGAAGAGTAAGCATGTTCATGACCGTAAACACACGCAATCATCAAGGCGAGAGTCAGAAGAGACACCTGCATTTAAAAAAAAAAGATTATCTTAAAACAATTGCTTTTACTAAACCCTTCATGCAAGATAAATGTTAATATTTAAAATATTAGCTGTTAGAGATACCTTCGAAAACATATTTGAATATTGTACAAATATTGTTCGGTCAAACCTTCCTAGAACCTCGTAGACTGATACTTTTTGCGACAAGTGTCAGCCTTTTATGCACCGTTGTTAGTGATTTCACGACGTTAATTGTTATTGTAACACGTTTATTATTAGCCGTATCTGATTTTCTTATCCAAATTCCATGCAAAACTGTAGTTTCTAATATCCGCTGGCAACTTTATTTTTAAAATACTTTATTTGCTTATATTAATTAATTTTACCATGCTATATACGCACACTTGCTTAACTTTGATGATAACTTCATGTTAATTTAGAAAGAGAGACAGCTTGATAAGAATTTGTTAAAATATCTTATTTTTTTGCTATCGGGGTGACATCTTCGAAGGATGTGTTATCTGTGGGAGAAAAGGATTATGTGTGGTCCTTACCTGCTATAACCCCCTCGGTGGTCACCTTCATTACATTGGGAGTGGCTTTGGAGTCTAATACGGACTGCACTGGTGGTCAGGCCTGTGTATGATAATCCTTCCCCAATTCTCTCATTGCTTTACGGGGAACACGAGACCATTTCGTTTTGACTTCTCTGTTGTGTGACCAGGCCCGCCCGATAGTATATTCACTCAGTGTCTCCTTTTAGTTGCCTTTTACGACATGCAGAGGTTTCTTTATTCTAAGATTCCGAGAATACAGGGCTTTAAAATATATCTATAAAATATAAAATATATAGTGAATGTCATTTGATTTAGATTTATACGTTTTTTTCCCATACACACGAATAATAAGAATAAAAGCACAAAATGTAAAATTACGTCTCTTAAATAATGCTCCAATTTTGTTGAAATAAAAATGCAGCGTTCGTATTTTCATGTGATGTTTAAAACCCCAAAAGCGATCATCTGTTAGAAAATTAAGAATATATTTTTATTGATATTATGTAACCTATTTATCATTAAATATTTTTACTAACGTGCATTCCATAAATAATTTATACGCACATTTTTTTTTTTTTGATATTTCATTTCATATTTATGTTCATTTATTGTTATCTAAATAGAGCGAAGGCCTGTGCAAATGTGCGGGAAGTCAATAGACGCAGGTGGCTTAGGATCGTGCTTCGTGGCAGTCTGTGGGGGAGGCCTATGTTCAGCAGTGGACTCAAGCAGGCTGAAATGATGATGACGATGATGATTCGTATCTCAAAATATCCACTGTTGTTTATTCTTTAGTACATAAATAGTACCTACTATTAGTGTAAGACGATGGAGGACCTCCATACAATATTTAAAAAAAGTATATTGGATAACGTGTGATAAGTAATTGGATATGTTACCGGTATATGGAGAAACATAGAAAATACTCTAAATTCGAAGTCGCTCATAGTCGAAAGCATGTTTATTAGCTTTATTTCAGGATAAGAAATATTTTCAATCTTTATAAGTAAATTAAAGTATTAGAAACAACGATTTTATAAACCCTACGTGTTCACTGATGTGTGTTTTCTTGCTTGTATACATAATAGTACCCGGAGGACCGAGCTTTGCTCGGTTTTTTTTTTTTGGTAAATCGTTGTATTTTGGAAATTACATTTAGATACAAATTACTGAGTAATGAAATATGCATAATATTTTTCGATCTTACCGACGTAATAATAAGAAAATATAAAGTGATGTTTTTCACGAAAGAAACAACTTTAAAAAAAAGGGAAAAAAATAACAAAAAAACAAAGCGACAAAAATTAAAAATAAAGAAAGCAATGATCTGGAATCGAAAAAAAGTAAAAAAAATAAATGTGTAAATGATCGTGACGCGAACCACGGCCGTCTGTTTTGGGGCCGCCCGATTACCGACCGAGCTATTATGACATTTTCTCTGGCGGCGAAATTTACCGTCATATTCGAATTATATTTTTCATTCCCTGAAAACAGGGATAAAACGGCATTTTCTGAAAATGAAACCTAGCTAGATCGATTTTTCGCCCCCGAGTCTACGCACATACTAAATTTCATGAAAATCGCTGTAGCCGTTTCCGAGATTCCGATTATATATATACAAGAATTGCTCGTTTAAAGGAGAAGATATATAGATATATTGTTAATATAAGTTAAGTACCTTATATGATTCTGAAAATTGTCGTGAAAGTAAAAGTTAAGCCCATGAACATTGCAACACCGGAGGGCTTGCAAATGCGTTGCCGGACTTTTAGGAAGGAATATGCTCTGTTATTCAAGGTTCCCCGATCATAAGGGTATTAGGAAATACTGACTTCACATATCTTCGATATTTTTTGTTATCGAATAAAGGCAGGTTTCCTAACGATGTTTTCCTTCATCGCTGAGCATCGGGGATCGAACTCAGGTTGCTCGAGTACATTGAATTAAAAGCCAGCGAGTTTTGGCCTTGCCGCCTATAGTACTTCCTTTTACAATCATTTGTAATTTACACTTTTTATGTTTTTGTTGTACAATAAAGTATAAATAAATAAATTTTATTTTTGAATGAGACTGAACCGCGCCTTGGGTTTTTATTTTAGGATTGAGTCGTTTTCATTATGTCTTTTGAATGTCATTATACATCGTAAGGTAGGCCCAAAAGGGTAATAGAGTTGTACTGGGTGTATAATTTGAAAAAGAAACAATATTTTCTGTGCTGTAATGGACATAAAAATAGTTGTGCCAATTAATGCTTAAAATGCTAAAAAATAATCTTAATCTAAGATTCGGTATTGAGGTATTTGAGTGCGGTTCCCGCAGCGGTGAACAACTTTTATTCCATTTTTTGAAATTTTAATATTTCATCTTAAGTGTAGAGATTAGCAATATAAAAATTAAATATAACAAGTATAATTTTTAACAAAAAAAAACCGACTTCAATCAGAAAATTAAAAACATTCTTAATGCCTATAACATTTAATAATGGCTCTCCATTTCTCTGGGATTTCATCATCAAATCCGGTTTCCTTATTATGGGATATTTCCTTTCCGACAAAAAAAGAATCATCAAAATCGGTTCATAAGCGACGAAGTTATCCACGAACACACATAAAAAATAAAATATATACGGTCGAATTGAGAAACCTCCTTCTTGTTTCAAGTCGGATAACATGTCTCGTTGGAATTATCGTTAAAAAATATGAAATTGATTGTGTCCTATAAAGTATATCCATAACAAAAGATGCGCCAAGCATTACTTAAGAAGCAAAAAAACGTAAAAGTAGGTACATAATATAAGTTGAGATTTTTGTTGCCGTTTAGCTTTGTGGTTAAAGGATCGGGGCTTAATTTCGGAATACGTTGGTTCGATTCCCACAGGGGCGAGAAACCTCTCATTAATTTTTTCTGCAATTTTGAATGATTCATTTTAAATGCAGAGATTGTATTATAAACACTTATTATAAAAATTTAAAGAAACAACATATATTTAAGTTTTATATATCACTTAAGACTAAAGGTAACATAAGTTAATTCCATAAATATGAACGAATCAATAGTGACGTTGGACGGGAACGGCGTGAGCAGCATGGCCTTGACGGTGAACTACGGCGTTGAATCTGAAAAATAAAGTTAAATATTAACCGAAATGAACCGAAACTATGTATCATTGGCTGGTTTTGAAAATTATCTTTCTTTTTATTTCAAAGATATGAATTGGCACTCGTATGGGATTCGGTTATTTACCGAGTGACTGCTGTCAGTCATCTGTATAATAATTATGTATGATATTAAAATGAAGCAACAATATCACTTACCCGTTGTGCGCATCGGCGGTGTACTCAACAGTTCTGACAGTGCCATCGGACTCGTGAAGACTGTAAGCGCCGCGCACCGCGTCACCTTCGCGTGCCTCGTGCTGGGACTTGATGTCACCAGTGTGAGGGTCATTTACGGAGTACTCGAACGAATAGTGTGGGGCTGTCTATAAGAATTAAGAAATTACATACGTAACAATCTACAATAATATTAGAAACAACGTATTGGATTTAAGTATGTGAATTCAAACACTTACATAGTAATTTTGCTGGTTGCCATTGTATCCTGAGTATTGTACGGGTTGATGTTGGATGACACCAGCGGGTGTTCTGTACCCGATACTCGTGTACCTATTATATCCGTAGCCAGCATTGTATTGACACGAGGCTAAAGCCAGGATGGCAGCAAAGAATATGACCTGTGAAAATTTAACAAAACCTTTTTTTTTAATTTTGATTTAATTATTGGTGATTATATTTCGAATATATGGAAAATGTTGGGATTTTCACCTTAGCGAGCATGGCTGAATTGTTATTTCTCTTAATTTTCAGGATCGACTGATAGTTTATATTAAATGAAACAGCCTTTTATACTGCAGTGCAAAAAACATGATATACTTAATTTTGCTGACATATGTATGCCAATTTCAACCGGTTCTTTGTTAATGAAACCTTCAATATAAATTTTAAAGCAAGCGGAACAATTTCATAACTTTCTTGACGTCGACATTTTAACTTATGACTTATTGTTAATGATTTGGTTTGTTTTCTTGAATTAAATTAATGTGTCAATCTCCAGTTTAAAACTCACATTTGGCTAAAGTTATATCTTTGTGCATGTTTGTTTGAATGGACCAAAACTAGCTGGGTTTGGGGTGTATCATCGAATCTATCTAGATTTGAGAAACGGCCAAGAGGGAATCTTGTGAAGGATTGCCTACGAGCACCGTTTCGAGTGCACCTTTGAGGTTTATGTCACTCCATGTTTCCTTTTACTGGAAATAATAGATGTGCAAGTGCGACGATGTGACAGTTGCATTTCGGATTTTGCTGTCGTCGAACAACCCGTAAACCTGCGGGAACGGAGCCTATGAGTGACCGTAAGGTAGGCAGCCTCTAAATAAAACCTCTCAACTCAGGGCGAGCGTGCAAAGATTGGTTTTCAATCAGGTACTCACCCCTGTCCAAGCGCTCAGGTAAAGGGAGGGGAATTTCAGCAACTTTTCCTTTTTTACTGGTTTTAACCAATAATGCCGGAAAATCCACCCTTAGGCCTAGCCTAGATAGCTCTATCGTCCCGAAGGAGTTGCTAGAGTTTCTATGAGCTGCGGTCTCATGTGGCGGATAGAGGAATTCCACATAGAAAGGGGTGATACCGTTAAACCGGCGTGGACAAAAACTAGCAGGGTGTCGTTCGGTTGGTCGTTTACAAGACTCAGGGACGCCTAAGGGCTTGATGCCCGTTGTGTGTGTATCGATGCAAGCTACGAAGGCAACGAAGGGCTTGGTTGATTGTTGTTGGCTTGGTTTACGGATTTTTTAAGCTTGTTATTTTAAATTAAGATTTTCCGGGTTGCCGACTTGTCGTGGCGGTGGGGTTTAGTACCCATGACTTGGTCAACTACGGTGAAGAGGATTCCAATTTAGGCCCGGCCTGTGGTGTAAGGGCCCGAGGGGGTAAAAATTTAGGTACACACATAAATCCACTGTATGAATTACTTAAAAAAGAAAAAATTGGGACTGAACAGTAAACATATATTTTTTGTGTTTTCCGACAAATTAAATACGTCTGTGAATCACTGATTTAGGGAGGTTAGTAGTATATATAGGTGGAGAGAAAATGAGTTCGTGAGCGCGGAGCTGTGTGGTGGCTGGGTGTTGAGACACTGGAAAAAGCCTTGCATGCTCAGTATGCGCCAGTGTGGTACAAACACCGACCGCACACGCGTCGCTACGTTGGCCCTGGCCGGACTGTCCCTAGCCCTAGACCAGGCTCCCTTCTTGGACCCTATCGCTGGCTGTAAATATTAAAAGTAAATGGAAAAATGAAAATTTTTTATTTGCTAGTAAATAGTTACAAAATATTACAATTTAGTAGTAAATATTACAATGTGTAGTTTTATACAAGTTTTAAAAATATGCTACTTAATGTATAGATTTTTAATAAAAACAAAAACAATTTTAGTCACTACATACACATTTTAGTTAAAAAGCTCATTTATGGTGTAAAATCGTCTTCTCTAACAGCCATTGTAATGTAGTTTAAAACTATAACAAATTTTATGGAAATTGCTTAAAATGTGACGGTATCTTGTTATAAATTGTGATGCACAATGCATAGCTATTTTATTAAACCAGTTACTCCTTGGATGTGTCAATTACTAGTTTAACTTAGATCCGTAGGTTTATTTTTCTCCATCGTTAGCTTGTAAAAATATGTGCTAGTTTTGCCTTACAAATTTATCAACCTCAAATATATAGATATTTGAGTTTGATAATTGAGGCAGGGAAATGTTTGTGTTTATATTATTAAAATAAGGCTTGCATGATGTATCTGATGAGTTACAACGAATAGCTCTAATACAGCGCTTTTGAGCTAAAAATATTTTCGATAATCTGTGAAATTACCCCATATAATAAGTCCGTATCTGTTTACAGGTTCAGCATATGTAAAGGACAAATCCTGTGTTCTCCTACCAAAAACAGGACTTCAGGGGTCACGAGTGATTAGGATGCAGTCCTTAATTGTCTAGTAAGGCCCCGGTGACCCCAAATGTTCTGCATACCACCGTGGGACGCTGGGGCCAGCGTAATACTGCCCCTGAACGGAACTGTCACAGCTACGGCTGCGGTAGTGTTCTGAATAGAGATCCCGTGACCCCTCATCCGAGCACATGGTGACCACCGTGGAATTTTAGGTATGAGTCCGACATAATTTGATTTTTCCCTACGTAGAGAGCCAGGCAACCACAATTCAGAACACACATAATTTAGTATTGTCATAAGTATTAGGAATTAAATAACTATTAGGAATTGATTTTTATGTGATTAATGTACTATTATAAAAACTCTAGTAAAAGTAAAATTGGAATATCTTTAAAAAGGTATATGAAATGAATGAATGTAACGGTGGTAGGGCCACGCAGCAGCCTCGGCTGTTGCACGAATGGGCAGGCCCGTCCGGGTAGGTACCACGACCTCACAGAAGACCAGCGTAAAGTGGAAGTATGACAAATACTTTCGCGTTTCGTCTGGTGAGTGAGGTAGCCGGAGCTCAATTTTCAAAAGGTTGTCAACGCATCTGTAACGCTCGGGTGTGGCAGATGTCCATGGGCGGCGGTATTCACTTAACATCAGGTGAACCGTCTGCTCGATTGACAACTTTTCACATAAAAAAAAAATGAAATATCTGTTTTTGACATATGGAAAAATGATAACGAAACGATTCTTAGGTTTTTAGACTCGAGTTATTTCATCTACCTTCTGTATGTCATAATACATCATAAGGTTTCTACCTACGTAGTTATTTAAAAAGAAACAAAAGATATATTATTTAAATTCTTTATATAACTTAAGACTAAAGGTAACATAAGTTAATTCCATAAATATGAACGAATCAATAGTGACGTTGGACGGGAACGGCGTGAGCAGCATGGCCTTGACGGTGAACTACGGCGTTGAATCTGAAAAATAAAGTTAAATATTAACCGAAATGCACCGAAACTATGTATCATTGGCTGGTTTTGAAAATTATCTTTCTTTTTATTTCAAAGATATGAATTGGCACTCGTATGGGATTCGGTTATTTACCGAGTGACTGCTGTCAGTCATCTGTATAATAATTATGTATGATATTAAAATGAAGCAATAATATCACTTACCCGTTGTGCGCATCGGCGGTGTACTCAACAGTTCTGACAGTGCCATCGGACTCGTGAAGACTGTAAGCGCCGCGCACCGCGTCACCTTCGCGTGCCTCGTGCTGGGACTTGATGTCACCAGTGTGAGGGTCATTTACGGAGTACTCGAACGAATAGTGTGGGGCTGTCTATAAGAATTAAGAAATTACATACGTAACAATCTACAATAATATTAGAAACAACGTATTGGATTTAAGTATGTGAATTCAAAACTTACATAGTAATTTTGCTGGTTGCCATTGTATCCTGAGTATTGTACGGGTTGATGTTGGATGACACCAGCGGGTGTTCTGTACCCGATACTCGTGTACCTATTATATCCGTACCCAGCATTGTATTGACACGAGGCTAAAGCCAGGATGGCAGCAAAGAATAGGAACTGTGAAAATGTAATAAAACGTATTTTTAAATTTTGATTTAATTATTGGTGATTACATTTAGAATACATGGAAAATGTTGGGATTTTCACCTTAGCGAGCATGGTTGAATTGTTATTTCTCTTAATTTTCAGGATCGACTGATAATTTATATTAAATGAAACAGCCTTTTATACTGCAGTTCAAAAAAATTTAAAAATTATTGCTGAAATGTGTATGTCAATTTCAACCGGTTCATTATTAAAGACACTTCAATAAAACTTTTAAGGCAAGCGTGATAATTTCATAACTTTCTTGACGTCGTGGTATTTCAACTTATCACTTATTTATAATGAAATGATCGGTTCGTTGTTATATCACTATCACTAAATGTTATAAAACAAAGTAGTCCCGCTGTCTGTCTGTCCCTATGTATGCTTAGATCTTTAAAACTACGCAACGGATCTTGATGCGGTTTATTTTAACTAGATAGAGTAATCCAAGAGGAAGGTTTATATGTATAATTGCATTGCACCCGTGCGAAGCTGCGACGAGTCGCTTGTTTTGATGAAATCGGAAAAATACAAATAGCTCAAAAATTAGGTACCGCTTGAGCTTGCTGAAATAAGGCATACAAATGATCATGATCGGATTGCGGATTGAGCTGAAAAGTGGATCTTATGTGTGGTTATTAAAAACATTTGATGAACCAGTACTAGCATTGTTCGCATATGACCTTGCGTAACGATTACTGCAGAGGTGTACTGTCAAGTATTGAAAATAACGATGGACGCTAACTTACGTATGGATAGCGATCACGCTGTTAAACAACCCTTGATGATTGTTTTAGGCCGCTCTTTTTTAACCACAACGTTTGTTCCAGTACATAGCTGACCATGTTAAACTACTGTTATTACTTCTGTAAATTTTTCGCCACCCACTGTACTCACCAGAACTTAAGTTTCATCTTAAATGCAGAGACTGGCACGGAAAAAAATTAAACATTACATGCAAACAACAGCAGAGGCGATACTCTTATTTTCAAATATTCAATGTAATACGTAAGGATAGATAAAACCAAGCATTGCTACAAATGAAATATAAAGAAAGGGGGTCAGGTTGCGGTTGCCAGGATGTAATAGCCTTAGTGGCTATGCGGTTATGTCAACGGCTTAGCCACTAAGGCTACTACATCCTGGCAGCTGCGAAAACATATTGAAAATATTTTATCTACACATTTTAAAGTTTTTTGATTACGTCGTTGGAAAAAATAAGATAATATGTTACCTGAAACTAAATAAGCCATTTTTCTGACCTCGACAAATTAAATCTGTTTCAAGTATCGTAAGAAACAAATAAAAATCTGCTACTTATACTTTTTTATAATAGGCTTTAAACGGTCTAAAAACTTTTTTTATTAAGTTTTATCCTTTAATTAAAAAAAAAAAAATTTTTCCGACAGCTAGTATAGGGGCTTTACTGAAGGGTACAATTTTAAGAATTATTCTTCTTTTATTCCCATTGGTCAGGTGAAAGAAGAAAGGGCCAGGAAAAAGTATTGGCTAGGATTTTTAAGACTTTGTTTTTACGAATTTGTGTTTAAAATTTTTGCGCAATGCTTTACATCTATAACAACAGAGAACTCATTTAGTAATTCACTATCGAACGTAAGTATAATTTTACAGTTTTATCTTATAAGTACCTAAGTCACATAAAATTCATAGGGAATGAATATAGATGATAGCAGGTAGGAGAAGTTTACAAGACGAGGAATCTACGGGAAGAATAACATACAGGTTTTTTGAAAGTTTTGGTCAGTCAAAGAATTCGCAAATTAAGATATCCTTATTCTTTAATTTTGCCAAATGTACACGAGTATAGGGCATGACGAAAGGACCGAAAAAAAAAAAAGAGATTTTTACATGTGTTATTGCTCCAGTGATGGATGTATCATGTACCCGACATACTTGATGAAGAATACAAATCTTCAACCATTGTATCACAGAAACACAACTGATGTTTACAAGAAAACTTGTAGAGAATTTTTTTATTTGCATAATCCATTGCACATTCGTTTTATCTGAGCTATTTATGTCAAAAATCTTACTGTTTGGCAAAAAAAAAACAACATATTTGCAAACCATTTTTAGCAAGTATGGGATCGATCGAACACCATTATAAATGAAATAAGAAGTCCCCTTACATTTCATTTATAATGGTGTTCCGAAAATTTGTGCCAATTTTCAGTTCTATGAGAATATTTGCACTTTGACATGTCTACTTTGACCGGAATGTACTCTGAATTATTCATAAATGCAGCGTTTAATTTCATCCCTGGGATAGTTACTCTTAGAAAATGACGCTGTTGGTGAAATTAGACCAAAAAGTTGGGTTGCATCGTCATAGCAAATAGTCAACAGTTTCGCCTTAATATAAATTTATCTGTCTTATTACTTTAAGACATCTTTAAATATTATATATGTATATATATATATATATATATATATAACATCATATTTCTCACCTATTTTTATGTCAATTATATGTTTGAAGATTTAATGGTATTGTTGCCATTATACAGCGTGTTATTACCACCGCGACAATAACTGAACACACGTCTAACGCTACTTGCTAATAATCAAAAAATATATTAAGTAACGTCAAAAAATCCATAATTTAAAAAAAAAAAGTCAAACAAACTATTTAAGTACAAAGAAATAAAATTTGTAACATCTTATACAACTCCAACTGACTGATTCATACATTCAGTACTTTTCATTCGTTGCCACAGCGTCGCGTTACAAGTCTGTCCTTCTAACAGTATGTTTTATCTCTTTTAAATTTCAACCCATTATATGGTTTGTGACCTTTACAAATGAACTTTTGTTACAGTTTTATAGGTAAGGGTGTTCTAAATTTCTCTAAAGTTCTAAAATTCTTTGTTTTGTAAAATTTAATAACTCGGTAAATATTGATGTTTAAGGAATGTAAATGTTTAATACAATTTTAAAAAGTTAACCTCTATATGTGTGTTCATTTATTGTCGTGATTGTAAAAACACGCTGTATAATATGAGGTCTTTACGTATGAAATTGGCGTTTTGTACGGGAGGAATTAAAGTCATTTTTGGTAAAATCTATTTAATTAATCAAACTGTGCACCGTTGTTATACATTAACCCCTTTACTAAAAACCATGGGGGACGAGAATCAATAAAGTCTTTGAAGGCGGTTTGGACTGCCGCATCGGACTTGAATTTTTTTCGTTGTAAAAAGTTGTCCAAATTCTGGAAAAAAAATGGTAATCTGTTGGAGCACGGTGTCCGGGGAGTACAGTTTATGTCGCAGACATACCAATTGTAGCTCATCTAACTTAGTGGTTGTTTGTTGTGCAGTGTGTGCTCTTGCGCTGTTGTGAAGCAGCAGCGCAGTGATTGGCCAATCTCGGTTGTTTAGCAGCTAGTTCTTCCTTCATGGTTTGCAGTTGCTGACAATAGATATCCGCCTTAATCATTTGGCCAGATTTTAGAAAGCTGCAGTAAACGACCACCAAACACACACGTAACTTTTTCTGAGTCAATTTTGGTTTAGGGCAGAATTTGGCTGGGTCTCCAGGGTTCAGCCATTGCAACGAGCAATTCCGATTATCACACCGTATCCACTTTTCATCACAATGATTCGATTTATAATCCCTTCATTATTGTGTCGGTTGAGCAAAGTAACACAGCAGTCGACGCGTGTTTGCAAGTGCGATTCACTCAATTCATGAGGTACCGATCGTTCTAGTTTTTTTACTTTCCCGATTTGCTTTAAGTGGATTTATACAGTTTTATCATTTACCCCGAAGCCTGCAGCTATCTTTGGAGTGTTTTGTGATGGATTCGCTTCCACAATACCCTTTAATTCTTCATTTTCCTATTTTCATACGTAAGAGCCTAATACGTGAAGTATTAATGTACATATATAAAGGCGAGATAAACACAATAGCTTACAAAAATAATTAACTTACCCAACGGAAACGTATTATTTGTGTTTTCATTTAGGGACCGTAGTAGTAGCTACAAATAATTTAAGCCTCACATGTCCGTTAATAAAAATTATAAGGAATTTGTAGTAAACTAGTATTTGTAAACTTTTTAAGTTTTTCTTTTATGTGAAAAGTTGCCAAACGCAGACGGTTCACCTGATGGTAAGTGAATACCGCCGCCCATGGACATCTGCTATATCCGAGGGTTACAGATGCGTTGACAACCTTTTGAAAATTTAGCTCCGGCTACCTCACTCACCAGACGAAACGCGAAAGTATTTGTCATACTTCCACTTTACGCTGATCTTCTGTGAGGTCGTGGTACTTACCCGGGCGGGCCTTCCCATTCGTGCAACAGCCGAGGCTGCTGCGTGGCCCTACTATTTAAGTATTTTCTGTCTTTTTTGCCACGTAGTAACTACTGTTGTAGCATGAATGCACCTGATCATCCAGGAAAGTACCACGGCTTCACTAAAGATCAGTGTGAAGTGGAAGTTTCGTGTGGTGAGTAAGGTAACCGAGACCCACTTTTTAAAATTTGCATTGCACCTGCAACCCCCATATATGTAGGTGTCCATGAGCCACGGTCATCGCTTAACATCAGATGATCCGCCTGCTCGTTTGCCATATTAAAAAAATTGTATTTAAAATTTATCAAAAAAGCATAAACAAGTATTTTTATTTTGGTTACATACGTGCTATAGATTTTTTTTTTTACTTTATGCCTTTACTTTTCAAATAAATCTACTTTTCCGTGAAATGTTCATAGGGGTTATACTAGAGATTTTTAAGGCCTTTTGATATTTACATAGTAACAGTTAAAACATTTATAATTATGCAATGGTAAATAGAATATATTCCATACAAGTGTACGTTATAATAATGTTTATATCGTCTAATTGATGACTCCGTGGTGCAGTTGCCAAGGTATTGGCTTCGGCATCGGGGGTCGGCTACTCGATTCTCACACGGGACAACTATTTGTATGACCCACAGATAGTTGTTTCGCATATAGTCGTTTGTCCGAGTGAAATTTATGTATGTAGAACGTCTTTACAACACAGGATAATGTAATCCTAAAAAAAAAACAAAACTCAGCACTCCATGTTTTTTTTTATAACGGAATGTCTTGACCTTGACTATGCAGACAGATGAATGACGGTGCAGCCGTAGGTGGTAAATGCAGTAGTTCATTGTAAGCTCGGAAAGTAACAGGTATTGATTGTGACTATGATTTTCCGCGAAAGGTGCGTGGTGGAGATTTGTTTGGGTAATAAGTCCAACGACTACAGCGACTTAGAAGATTTATTGTAGTCCATTTGAGTTAGATAGCCTCCTCCAAACCAACAACCCTAACGAAGTAGACGGTCGATGAGGGGCTAAGAGTTAGGGCTTCTTTGGTTGCCAACTAGGGCTCTCCAAGTTCTCGACTCGAATATTGATTAGAGCATAACATTCACAAATTATGTGAAGTGGATGTCCGCGACACCACCGCAGAATGTGTTAAGTAAGTAACGGTTAATTCAAATTAATTAAAAAAAATTCAAATATTAGTGTAACCTGTTTAGGTAAAATTTATATTTATGTATTGACAAGGGATTTGTGTGATGAAAATAGAAAACTAAAGTGGTTTGCGTAACTTTATTAAAAATAACTAAACATAAATATTACAGTAATCTTTTGTTTATAATAATATTTAGTGTTGAGCAACAGGAACGGCATGAGCAGCGTGGCCCTCGCGGTGAACGATGGCGTTGAATCTGCAAACATTCGATGAGTTTTAGTAACTGCCTTGAAAATATTGAGAAATTAAAAACTGCAATTTTAACTATGAATGTGACACTACTTACCCGTTGTGCGCATCGGCGGTGTACTCAACAGTTCTGACAGTGCCATCGGACTCGTGAAGACTGTAAGCGCCGCGCACCGCGTCACCTTCGCGTGCCTCGTGCTGGGACTTGATGTCACCAGTGTGAGGGTCATTTACGGAGTACTCGAACGAATAATGGGGTGGCGCCTGCGGAAGCAAAAGAGGAGAAAACCGCATCTCAATTAAAATTCCTGATCAAAAAGTGTAATGGTAATAATACAATGAAATTTCACCGAGATTGTAAAATTCGAAAACTTGACATTTCATATCATAAATTATATCATAATATGCACTGGGATTCAAACCCGATAACTCAAATCGTTGATTTATGGCCGCAGAACCTAAAGAGTGGATAAGTAATCTATTGTGAAATTATTAAAGTTTTTATTATGAGGACAGGATGTTCAAATTATGATCAAACCATCAAGAAGATTGAAAAAAATCTAAACATAAAATTGTCTCCCATTAATAAAAAAGTGTGTGTGTACTTATGTACGCACGTAAGAAGTTTTTATTGCTTAGAGTAACATAAGAAAAGTAACTTGAACTTAAAAGTTTTATCCCCTGTGCAAGTTCTCTTTGTTTCTGAAAATTTATTAAATGCAGTAGATAGCGGTTATAACTTGTAACAGTAGCAAAATGTCAAAAAGTTGTTATTGGTTGCAATGGTAATACCGTGAAGTTGGTTGCTTTGCAACGCTTTGGTTGCTTTGTATCGTGTCGCTTTTTGGGGGTCGGTGTGCGCGCGCATCGTAAAAATTTTACTGTCATATTTTTTTCCAAACTCGCTAAAAGAAGTATAACTTTAAAACATATTGTGCAGAAAACGTACGTAGTAATCTTGCTGGTGGCCATTGTACCCTGAGTATTGTACTGGTTGATGTTGGACGACGACAGCTGGTGCTCTGTAACCGATGCGGCCATATCCTTGATTGTATCCATATCCAGAGTTGTACTGACCAGTGGCTAAAGCCACAATGGCAGCGATAACAATTACCTGCGAAAATATTGAATTATTTCTAAATGGCAGAACTACAACGTAAAAATTTTTCCATCATCACGATTTACTGCTTGTATTTGTACCTTAACAAACATTTTGGAACTGTTGACTGTTTTAGTCACAATGAAGAACTGATGCCAAATTAAAATTTAATCCACCTTTTATAGTAAGAGAGTGCTGTATATGAAACACCCAAACATTTAAAGCAGTTTTAACCGGTTAATTACATAGGTACACGACTTCAATGCATCAGTTGAAACAAGCGTCATTTAATTACGTAAGTTTTGGTAAATATAAATCAGGATTGTGACTCATGCCGTTTTATTTAACCGTGTTATATCTATACGAATGCTGGTGTTTTTTTTTTTTTTTGGGACAAGTGAAATAGTGTTACACTTTTATCTTTCATTTTGGAAATTAAAGTAAAAACACTTTTATAAAACACGCCATTTTTCCACAGGCAAATTGTCATTACATATTACCCTATCTTACTTGAAGTCATAAAATTTTTGTTATTTTGGTTGTTGCGCTATTTCAGAGCTCGAAGTTAATTTAATATTGAAAGGCGACATGAAAGTTTCATGATAAGTATTTTATGAAAATCGTGTACCACTCTTTGTGATCAATATTGACAACAAGAAGCATTTTGAGTCTTGTAAATTTTCCCGTTTGGTCAGATAGATGTGCTTTTATGTGCTTCTTGTGCCTGGGTTTACTTGATTATGCCGGTTGACGGTCGCGTACCCAGAAGACTTCTTTTCTATTTTCATTCTATTCCCACAGGTCTTGGATACATGAATATAATAGCACTTAAAATTTAAGTGAAGATTTCGTTGGTGGGAACTAAAGGCTAAAGGGAGCGCTGAGATACAACGGAATAAGTTCTTATAATACTTTTTATTAATATTTATATTCAATATCTTCTCAATTTAATCGAATGGGCAGGTCCATCCGGGTAAGTACCACGACCTCACAGAAGACCGGGATAAATACAATACAGAGTGAGGTAGCCGGGGCCCACTTTATTAAGAAATGGCAACGCATCTGCAACCCTTGCGTTGCAAATGACCATAGGCGGCGTTATATTGACCACTAGGTCTATAGAAGTATAAGCAATAAATATGACTAAAAGCTAAGGCAAAGTTACGGAAATAGTTAAATCTCTAGTGAGTCCTACTTGTAATATTGGGATTTTTTTAAATAACGTCTATCTAACTCATGTTGAATATTTAGCCTTGTTCAATTCAATATCATCCCATTTTGTTTTATGTAAAAGTGATGAAATATTAAAATAAGCTATTATTTATTTTTAAAGCGCTTATTTATTTATCTATATAATAATACGTGAAGGAAAAACTTTGTACCGCTTTTTATGAAAATTGCATGGACGGAGGAGTATGATATTTGCTACACTTATAGTTTAAATAGAGAAAGAGTGCAGAATGCTAATAAGTTTTATGTTTTTTTTAATAAAAATCATTCTATCATTTTTTAAATAAATTAAATCAATATAGAAAACATTAACACACTACCATGTATTTGACACACACACGCATATATAAAGTTTTGTTTATTGTGTATTGCATTTGAGAATATATTAATATTGATCAAATTTATAATTTAAATTAATTATGATCGAATTTCGACCACTCGGTGTCCACTGGTATAAGTAAATACATATTCATCGCACGAAACTATTAATGTACAAAATGCACGCACTTTTTTACCTATCTTAGCGTGTTCCTTCAGAGGCTACAATATTATGGTATTTACTTTATGACACACAATTTTTTTCATTCATAAAAGTGTTTCAAAAAACCGAAAAGTGATATTAAAATATTGTTCAAAGGTAATTGTTATAATCGTTCGGTTGACATGTTATTTAGTTAGCATTTATATTATTATAAAAATATTTTCTTAATATAAAATAAAAATACAAAAAATTGTTTGGTAAAATAATTATTTACTAGTATTTAAAATATGATTATTAGGGTTCCGTATCCAAAGGGTAAAACGGGACCCTATTACTAAGACTCTTGTCTGTCTTCGTCTATCACCAGGCTGCACATCATGAGTCGTGATAGTTAAACAGTAGAAACTTTCACAAATGATGTTTTGACAGTTGAATTTTCACAGTTGTTGCCGCTGTAACAACAAATACTAATAAACAGATTTTTTTTATAGATAATGGTACGGAACCTTTTGTGAGTCCAACTCGCACTTGATCGTTATTTTTAAAATTACTAGGTTCTACTTCGCCTAATAGATTTTAATGATAATCTGTATTATCTTTATCTACTAAAGACCTAAACCCAGTATTTTTTTTCTTTATCCAATGGATTGCTGGAACATTGTTTATAATATTGTATATTGTTTATAGTATTTAACTATAATCAAGGATTACGCAGCATTCTACATAACATACTTAGTCCACCTAACTTTTATCCGACATACGGGCTTTTAAGAATTAATGAAGGCGTAAGATGTTAAACCCTTATTCAACATCCATTCAATTTATTATCTTAATAATAAGTTGATAAATATATATAAAAAAAAGTAAAGACTGTACAGAGGGTATCAGGGCAGGGTTATAGTTCACCACGCGGCCCCACTGCGGATTGGCGGACTTCACATATCTTCGTAAATATTTTTTTTTGTAATTATTTCAAAAATATGCAGGTTTCCTCACGATGTTTTATCTTCACAGCTGAGCACCTGATCAGTCAGCACTTAAAATTATCAATTTCATTGGTGCTGGCATCGGGGATCGAACTCAGGTTGCTCGAGTGTATTGAATTAAAGATGACCCGCACACTGGGCTAAAACGGCTCTTAAAATATGTGTATAATATAATTATATAAGAATTCACACGTTATTACTTGATTCTAATATATTAACTATTTTTGAACTTGAAAATTAATAACTATTATTAGGACAAGCAGCACTCGTGGTTATATAACCATCCGGGAACGCAGTCCAAGAGCAAGTGACCGCTGCTGCAAGCGACCATATGTCCCTTCGCCGAGTCATATCCGGTATACAGTGTTGCCAGCGACAACAATTATTGGTGAATTTTTCACTAAAGCTTAAACCTGTCAAGGTTTCATGTACAAACGGTGTTATTTAAAACGAAAAAATATACATAATACTACTTTATTAAAATCGCTTAAGCCTAAGAATAAGATTATAATGTTCCGTTATCCTTGTTGAGCTAATAATGGCGTTGAACGGGAACGGCATGAGCAGCATGGCCCTGCCGATGTACGACAGCGTTGAATCTGCAAATAATAAAAATAATAAATATAATTTTACAGCCCGCTTAAAACGCTTAATTTGTAATAATTAGAAATTTTAAAGGTTGTTAATAACAACTTAAGACTTTAACAAAACGAACTTTTACTCAAAGATTTTTATAGTCTTAAAAGGAATTTTTCAAATTTAAAAATCACATTCAACTTCAAAATTCATTTATGCCCAACTGCGTTTGCGTGACGTATTTAATTTTATTTATGTGATGCCTGGGGCATCGGTATTAAACAAATAATTAAGTTTATCACCACTGACACGCTCCTTCTTTTTGTCCTGTTTGTGGGATGTACAATAGAAACAAAATATAGGAATACGTATGACATATTTCAGATTACTACGTTGGCGGTGAGCAAGGTCTGATTTCTTAACGGGCAACATAGCTCTGTACTAAATTATAAATACGCAAGTGCTTACCCATTGTGCGCATCAGCGGTGTACTCAACAGTTCTGACAGTGCCGTCAGATTCATGCAGGCTGTAGGCGCCACGCACAGCATCCCCTTCGCGCGCCTCATGCTGGGACTTGATGTCACCAGTGTGAGGGTCATTTACGGAGTACTCGAACGAATAGTGCGGGGGTGCCTATGGAGATAAAAGCATTTTTTACAACTTACATTTATATCAAGTTTATAAACACCCCATTAATATTAAATAAATAAAAAAAGGTCAGAACTCACGTAATAGTCTTGCTGGTGACCTCTGTATCCCGAATATTGTACAGGCTGGTGTTGCACAACAACAGCAGGTGCTCTGTACCCAATGTGTCCGTAACCTTGATTATATCCGTAGCCGGCGTTATATTGACCACAGGCCAAAGCCAAAATGGCGGCAGCGGTAATAACCTTTAAAAAGTAGTTAATATATAATATCCATACGTCTAGTCTTAAAAGTAATTATTCGTAGAGAAAAAAAAAAATTCACACCTTAACAAACATGCTTGAATTGTTGGTTCCTTTAATTTTAAGAAAGAACTGATAGTTAATATAAAATAAATTCGCCTTTTATGCTAAGGTACAGCAACGCAAGATATTAAATTTTGTGTACATTCTTATGTCAATTGTAACTGGTTTACTTATGTAAGGCACCTTTTTTATATGTCAGTTTAAAACAAGCGTAAATTAATTACATGATTATTGCTAACATGGCTATTCAACTTGTGAGAATGTTTTGTAAGTCTTAAATGTACTATCATATATTGAATAATCATATAAAATAAAGAATTTACTTGACTCATCACGGAAAAACATCCTAATTAACTGACGGCGGTCAAATACATCAAGGATTGGAATCCACGTTTTGAAAACGAACCATTCTATAAGTGAGCAATGTTTACCTGGGATAGTACAAAGTCCTCTTTTTGGAAAAAACCGCGTCGCGTCCGCCATATAGTCTGGGAATCGCATCTTGTGACTTTTTTTTTTGTTTCCTTAAATTAATATAAGCTTAGGGGCTTACAGGGTTTGGGAAGTGAAAATCTCAATCAAACCACGAAGTCTCTATTGAAGACTGTATGCATTTTTTCGCACAATGGTTCTAACGAATATAAAAATGTGTAAATAGTATGACTATAAACTTCGGGAAATAATTAATATACGAGTATGAATTAATACAATATCTTATCTTATTTATCAAAATCCAGGAATTTGAAGTAGGTACTCAGTTGAAATAATACGGAACTATAACATAGTGTCGATATGGCAACCCTGTGAATCACTTACGACCCGTAAGTGATCAAGAGGGACAGCGAGTGCATCTCCATTTTTTTGTTATTCTTTTTTATTAAAGAATAACCTCCATTTGTTCTCCACATAAGTATGTGACGTACACTTAGACGTCCGCAGTAGAACAAAGGTAACCGACATAGCTCAGAAGATTAGCAAGCCGAAGTGGCGATAATAGCTCGAAGAACCGATAGCCGATGGGGAAGAAATGTTCTTGAGTGACAGCTTCGTAATCCCTATCTCGCGGGGTCATCCCACTAAATGGAGCGAAGACCTGTACAAATGTGCGGGAAGTCGATGGATGCAGGTGGCTCGGGATTGTGCTTCGAGGCATTCTATGGGTGAGTCCTATTTTCAGCACTGGACCAACCAGGCTGAATATATGATGATGATCACTAAAATATCTCATGTCAACTGTTGATCGGGTATTCAATACACGCGCAATAGTCTTACAAAACATAGAGGACAAAAATATAGCTGTATAACTTTCATTATTCTTAGAATTTTTTTGGTATTGACCATCTTGAGGATGTAGTCGCTATTCGAAAGCAAGAAACGAAATAGTCTTGGGTCTATGAGTGTGCCTTTCATAGCAACCTTGGTATACAATATGTATTATTATCGTTAGTCGGAAAGATTTCGTGATGATGAGATTGGGCTTGTGTCATTGAAGTATCACATGGATGTCTCATTTACCAGGGCTATAGGGCCGAATAGAGCCACTCTCTCCATTAATAACGTAAACATAATATCGGTATGCTTAACTCTCAAGACGCTTGTAGTTAAGATGGCTAGTACCGTACCATCCACATTCCACTGGGCCGTTAAGTGTTAAAATTTGTACGGCTCAAACCCTGTCAGTCACCACGTATAAGTAACAAAGTGATTGAAATCATAATTCATACTTCGAATAAGGTCATGCAGACAAGGATTATTTTTATAATCGAAGTGGTAAATACAACAAGTTCACAAATGGCTTGTATCTTCTTCTTCTTCTTTGATTAATGGCCTCTCTTAAAAGAAAAGCTTGTATCTTTTTTACAAAATAATTGTCAATGAATTAAGCCTATAAAAATGTTTAAAGATTAATAACAGGTGTATAGTTAATGGGTAGAATAAGAAAAGAATTATTATTAGCGGAAACACTCGTTAATTTAATCTAACCCATATTATTTAGTATTACAAATTTCTTTTGTGTTAGTGAGCTTCTGTTAAGTCTTGCTTCTTTCTTTTATGTAAGATGTTGTGTATAAAAAATGAAAAGACGGTGACATTATAACCGGTTTAAGCAGGTTGAATTTTGAAGCAAGTGCAAGTGGAACAGTGTGATAGACTAAAATCTTATCTAAAGCATGTAAGCTGAGGTACTAAAATATTGTGTTAATATAATGTTATCATTAAATAAATGGTTACTGTTTAAGTATAATACATATATAAAATAAATGAATTTGCTTTTAAATATCTAAACAATCAAAAAAAAAAGTATCATGCATACAATCAAACGTATTATTTGCATTAACTTTTCAAATATCCCCAAATAAAAACTAAATTAAATTATGCATAATGATTGGTATTATTTATTGATGAATATTATATACTACCAATATAATAATGTAGTAATAGTATGTAATGATTTATATTACAATAAATAAAGGTATTTACGGGGTTCTAATCAAGATAGTATAGTTTCTTGACGCAATTGTGTCAGTCTCCCACATAGAGTTAGTATCCATAATAACTCAACTTAACAGTACCAAATGTTTAGCTACAATCTTGCCGCACGATAGGTTTTAGGCGCTCTGCTTAACTGCTTTATTAAAAACACCGAAAAGTATACTTTTCTGTAATGTATAAAAATGCTGGGTGATTAGCATGAGATGAAAAAACATCTTAACAAAAAGAATTACTATAAGGAAAATTTTTTATAAAGAATTACTCTTTTAGAATTTTAAATATGAAACCTCGCACTTATAAAAAGCTTTAAGATTAATAGGTATTAATAAAGCCATCTAGAACTGATTGTATTTGTACTACTTATTACGTTACCGTAATATCTTACGCGTTCGCGTCATGTGCTATATATTTATTGCATTCTCGTGAACTCTTCCAAATATAGCGCAAATTACAGATATTTATAACGTATTTCTGAAATTTAAACGTGGTAGGCCACGCAACAGTCTGCTGTACGAATAGGCAGGTCCGTCCGGGTAAGTACCACGACCTCACAGAAGACCGGTGTGAAGTGAGGTAGCCGGAGTTATTAAACGATGCCAACGCATCTGCAACCCTACGGGTGTTGCAAATGTCAATGCATGCCGGCGGTTATCACATCCGCGAATTTGTTTGTGCGTTTATATTTAGTAATTATTAGAATAAATTAGGTGCAAGGCAGGTTAGAGTCCTGACGTCGGGAACCGAACAATGCTCGTATCTTATAAGTACAAAATTCCTTTCTTATTTATGCCCGCTGTAACAAAAAGAAATTGAAAGTGGCAGCTTTTTTTGTCTGTCTTTTGGTTGTGATCTATCAGGTGTAAACATAACTATTACTAACCTTCGGGTTAAATCCACTAATTGTTTACATATAAAAATAAACAAATACAGCAATAATACTGTAAAACAATGTTTATTTGTACAAAACACGTAAAAACACATTTAAAATCAACCAACTAATGTAACAAAATGTCTCAAAACTAAATAACAACATATAGGAACATTTAAAAATCAAACCCACGTAAAGGACGAGAAAATTAATAATGGTGATGCTTTGGAACGATGTGGTGGGTGCTATGCTTCACGTCAGCGTGGAAACTGAAAATAAATTGAGAAAAGAATAATTAAAATACACATATCTTCTTGTATTGGACAAGATTACGTTGTTTTTCATAAATGACGTTACTTACTATAAATTGGCTCGGATGATATTATCTGATAAAATTATGGTTCATTCTGATTTTTGTTACATTTAGATAAATTATAACTTTCAACAACATTACCAACTATCTGGATTAGTAAAATAATGTACGTTGACTTACCCGCTATGCTTATCCGCGTGGTACTCCACAACTCTAATGGAGCCATCGGGCTCATGCAGACTGTAGACACCTTTGACAACATCCCCATCACGGAACTCATGTTGGGACTTCTTATCTCCGGTATGATGATCTTCCACTTTGTAGTCGAACTCATATTTAGGATGAGCCTGAAATAATTTTAATGTTCAGTTAGATTCTTAGAGGCCTTTAAAGATTTAGGAATCTGTTGGAGCAAATTTAATAATTTCGTCGTTAAACTAGATTGAAATCACTGAATGCGCCAAAATATTGCCCACACAAAAACTGATATATGTACATTAGTGAGAAAATGTTCATACAAATATCCACCACTTTTATATACATCCGTTATTTGTTAAAGTACTTCAGAGCTCGGGTAAATTTTAATTACATAGTAGTCAATGTGGTCGTGGCCGTGGCCGTGACCATGTCCATGTCCCTCTCCATGCCCGTGTCCATGCACATGGACAGGATGTGCAGGTCCGTCGTGTCGTGAAATATGCTGCGACGAGAATGCATGACCATGTCCGTGATCATAATTGGCGGCCGCTAACGCAACTAATGCCAGAACACACAGAACCTGTAATATTAATTTGTGATTTTAATTTTAATACACTCGATAAAATATTATTGCTAGATATGATTTCACTTCGCATATACCTTGGAGATCATTTTTAAATATTGTTCTGTTATGTTAATGTTTCTAAGATCGGCTCTTAACTGATAGGCGTTGACTCAGAATCACCTCTTTTATATTGATAATAAAAGTAACGAGCCAAGGTGATATTGATTTCACTCTATGTTACTGTTAGTTGAAATTATTGAATAACAGCTGCAGTGCGCGCTGAGTTTTTGTAACTAATTTCGTAAAACCATTTGTTTGACACAGCACCTACATTTGACAGTGTGGCAGTAGTCACGCCAACAATATCATTACAATCAATGGAGATCTTGCGCTATAGAAAGATACAAAGAAAGAAAGTTAATTGAACCTTCTACACTAATATACCAATCAGCCTACTTGCAGATATATCCGCTTTCGAAATACTAAATGGTATTAACAAAAGTAATTGTGTAACAATGCAATTAAAATTCAATGCATAATACTGCCGCGAACGTAACGTATGTCTCTCAGAGATGGAAGCAATTGTAAACAATAAATGATCAGTAACTGATGAATAAACAATTAATCTCAAGTTTAATAATATCCTTAAAGTGGTACGAACAGTTCAAATTCATACCTTGTTTCATGATCGACTAAAAAGCGAGAAATAGGTAAAAACTATATATCTACACATTTTGTTCACTGCAACAATAAATCTAATCAGTAATATTGAACTATGGCCATGGATCAAACTTAATCCATCTATTATCACAAGATAGAAAAACCAAGTGCGAGTCGGACTCACATACGAAGGGTTCCGTACCATTATCTACAAAAACGGCATGTCTGTTATATGGGAGCCCCACATAAATGTTTTTTATTCTGTTTTTTTAGTATTTTTTGTTACAGCGGCAACAGAAATACATCATCTGCGAAAATTTCAACTCTCTTACTATGTATTTCATGAAGCGTGATAATAAGGTTTTAATAATAGGGTCCCGTTTGTTTCCCAAAGGGTACGGAAACCTAAAAAGGTTCTATTTCATAACTTTGACTCTAAATTTTATCCCTAGAGCAAAAAAGGAAATTCTAATTATTACCTTTATGAAATAAACAAAATGATTACTCGTTTGAAGCAATCGGTAACCAAGCGATTGCCTTCTTCACCACGGGTCGCAAATTCGATTCACACCCGTGACAAATATTTGCATAGGACAATAAATATTTTTCCCTGGTATAAATCTTCCCCTATTCCAATCATTTAATTGATTATCTCATAATATTCTTGGGATAGTTTTATGAAAAGAGTTAATAAATAATTAAAGACGTACTCCATTTTTCATACTCTTCAATTAGTAAAAACTGAACCTTTATGAGCTGTTATCTCTGATTAAGACTAAACAGCGATTAATTGAAGAGCTTCTAACGGATCAATATTATAAATTCTTATGAGTTATTATGAATTATCGTTGCTCGTTTTATTTCATTTTAAATTTATTTTGCATATTTTATGAAACTATGTATCTGGATTGGTAAAATTGGCGTAATATAAGTTCTAAAATACTTCTAGGCTTTATTGTTTTTTTTTTTGGGAAAAGAAAACAAATCTTTATTATCTAATTTAACATATCTCTTAATACAGACATTATTTCAGACATCACAACGTCCTAAATTTGGAAATAGGTAATAAGTAAGTAACCAAATAAAATCGTGTCCTCTTTTCCACAAACTGAAATGGTATCACAGGTTTTGCTTTTAGGGTTTAATAAATAATTTGTTTTAATAATTTTGAGAAATTGCCGAGATCGTTTTGCAAATTAAAAGAAACTAGTTAACTTAATTACTTAAATAATGTTATTAAGTCAACTAGTTTACTATTAAATGTGAATTTATTATATAAATCGTCGATAAATTATTCAAAGCGTCTTCTGGGCAAAGCGCCAAGTCCCTCTAACCAACTGAGCAAAGCAATCGATATCCTCATGGCGCGAAAAGCAACATCATAACGTGTATTTATCCTTTACTTTTGGCTTTTGTCGCACAAATAGTCCCTTGTCCTGTGTCGGAATGAAAAAAATAGTTTGGTAAATAAGCCAACGGGGCATCCCACGGTTTAAAATGACATTTTACAATGAAGGTTTCAACGAGACGGTGTCGTGTGTTGAGGCGTCACTATTGCTAAAAATTCCAGATATGCAGAAAGAAATAGTTAGTGGATTTTGCACTATGAGCATATCGGGCGCTTAGCTCCATTAGCTAGTGCGCTACCCTAAAGACGTAGGTTTGAACCTGCAGGTTTGATAATTTTTCAACAATTATTTATGTAATATATTCTCACATGTACGCTTCATCTTGAGTGTGGTGGTGTAAGAATAAACATTAAAAGAATTAATATTAATGGTGGTAGGTGTTACAAGAATGAGCAGGTCCATTTGGGGTAGTACCTCACAGAAGACCTGGGTAGTAGTAGTGTTGCTCTTCTGCGTTTAGTCTGGTGAATGAGGTAACTGGGGCCCACATTATTAAGAGGTGGCAACGCAACTGTAATCCTACGGGATTTGCAAACTTCCATGGGCAGGCGGTTATCACTTAACATCAGGTAAACCGCCAGCTCGTTTGCCACTTCCTCACATAAAAAAAAGAATCCCATTTACAGATAAATTAATGAGAAAATTAAAACGTAGGTTGATCACTTTGAACTCCTTGTGATATTGATTTTTTAAGTAGCAGACATTGTATTTATATATATTGAGCACCCAATCAAAAGGTGCATTTAACTGCAGTTAAATGAACGTTCTAGTTACTGGTCTCTCCAAGTCCATCCAGTAAGCAGTTTTAAAACTTTAAAATACTTGCAATTAAAAAGAATACATGTTTTCTTTTACATCCCATGCCCTTTTAGCAAATTCATCAGATAGTCAGAGCTCCAGAGATATAGTCAGATCGTTAGATCGGACGACAAAATTAATGAAAATGAAAAATGTTTATATTACAGCAAAAAATATACCACAATTGTTGTGAAATAAAAATAACAACTGACAACGGGTTGAACCTTTAAGGCTCATATAGATAAGGATTTATCTATCTTTGATACTGGTTATTACACTTACTGTATGAACACAAAAGAATTTCGCTGCACTTTACTCCACTACGGTACAACGCGGTGTTTTTTGCAGTGTTTCCGGCATATCTTGTTCAGCCATGCATGGCTGTGTATAACAACACAGCAAATAGATCATAATAATTCACCGTTGCTTGCAAACATAATTGCTTGTGAAAACTGGTATTTAAAATTTTACTTGCAGTTTGCTAAGCTATTCATGAATAATATTAATGCTACAATTTTTTCCACCTTTAGCAATTATGTCCCTATGTACATATTATTAATTTACTTGAACTATTATAAGAATGATCGTATACTAAAAATCTAATTTTTCCACAACTGTTTTTGAAATATATACCATAAGGTTAAGAACAAAATTAATTGAAATACTGTTTCTGAGGTTTGACTATCAAATGATTTCATCTTTATAAAATGAATGTTATTCAATAAATAAAACAGAAAAGACAAGCGTACGACCTTTTAAATTTTTTTTAATATTTTAGTAAGACACTTTTATACAGATCTTCGAAGAGAGTGAAGTAAAAAAAGAGTAAATCCATAAACTGTTCAATAATAATATTAAATAGATTATGAATTAAATGAAAAACTAATAAAGCTAATTATCACAGCTATTCGTGCTTTTCTTCTTCTTTGTGTTCAGGAATAATATGGTGAGTTTCATGTTTCACGTCAGCGTGGAATCTGTAATCAAAGTAATGTTAGTTCTTTAGCTGCTGGGTGGGATGGGATGGAGTTATTCATTTAGCTTGGATTATTGCAACATAAAATTGCCTATATCAGAGCTTTTTACCTTTCGCTTTTATTTTCACCATATGTATTAAAATTATTCCATGCTCAGTCCTGTATGAACATTTGCTTAACGGAATTTTATGTTTTTTTTACTAAAGCTTTTCTGCGATTTATTAATAACAAACGTGCTGGCTATGCCGATGAAACCGATAGAGAATTGTAAAAAATCTCATGATTAAAATATCACCGACGAACGAGAATACAGAAGAGTAAAAGACTAGGAGAAAGAAAATGTTTATAAGTACACATAAAACTGTTATTAAAACGAACCCGCTATCATGATCTGCGTGATATTCCACAACTCTGATAGAGCCATCTGGCTCGTGCAGGGAGTAACTACCCTTTACCACATCACCATCACGGTGTTCTTCTTGGTGTTTGATGTCGCCCGTGTGGTGGTCCTCTACTTTGTACTCAAACTTAAATTTAGGATGAGTCTGAAATAATAAAAAAAATTATACGTATATTGCATATGCAACTGAATCCGCCAGATGACAACAGTTTACAATTCCTTTGAGTTGCAGGCACATCCTTTCACATCACTAACTAGAAGAAATGCAACATTTATTTTACACAAATGTTTTAACAGTAAATATCTTTTCCCATGGTTGACTCGTCACAATCAAGCAACATCATAAGCTTCTTGGCCACCGATTTTTTTTTACTAACTTCTTCACAACTTCTCACTTAGATCTACTAATTAAATAAAACGAAAAACTACAAAGATATATATATGAATTTACTCATTAAAATTGGTAAATTTGAATTAAAATATACTATTTTAAACGAGTACTTTCACTTTATCTATGAAATTGGGCTGACTAAATAAATAATGCTGTACATACGTAATAGTCGGTATGATGCTCATGTTCATCGTCACCTTTGACGAGCACTTTTTCTGCAGGCCCGTCTTCACGTGACACATATTGCTTAGAGTAGGCGTAACCGTGTTCTTCCTCTGCGATAACGAAAGCCACGAGCACAGCGAGACACAGGGCCTGCGTCATAAAAATTTACCTTTATGTTTTATCTAGTTGACATGGGGTAATTAATTATATTAAAGCGTATATCCACTGTTATTGACTTGGAGGCGCCGTTGCTAAGCTATTGGCTTCAGCGTGGGGGGTCGTGGGTTTGATTTCCACACGGGACAAGTATTTCCGTGACCCACAGATAATCGTTCCAATTTTGGGTGTTTGTTTCCCAGGGACGGTTGACGCCAGCCTGAGGCGGCTATTCATCAAAAACTAGCCCAACCCACTTACAACATGAATCACATCTTGTGCCGACCCCAACTAGGTGGGGATAAGGGCAGGAGGATGATAATGATTCTCTGTTGTACTCGTAATTACTGGCGGTTCTTTTACTTAAATAAGAAGAATAGAATGTCTATATAAGAATGATAAATTTTAATGATACAATGACTATTGCTTAAAGTCTATGTTTGATAATTGGCGATACACATATTGACGCACTTTAAAATCCATACACTTTTGCTTTCAAAGCATTCACTTTATCATCGGTCTAAAATTCATTAGACCTTTCATTTATATTTTAAATTGTCACATGCACTTCACTAAAACTTTGCAAATTGAATAGATGTCAACGGACGAAATCCATAATATAATGAAAAATATATATATATTTTCATACCTTGGATATCATTTTGAAAATTCAAAATTCTTATAGCACTAGAACTCTGCAGTGATAATGCAGTGATGAAACTGATAAGGATATCAAAGAGTTTATGCTTTTATATCGTCAATAAGGCTAGCTAGTCGAGGTAATCTGATTTCACTATAATGGGTGAATGATAATAGCCGTTTAAAATTATTTGTCGGTAGTAATGTGCTGTATTTGTAATGATTTCATAAAATCGAATCACTAATATGACGTACGCAACAATGTTTCGTTATGCTTAACATGAAGCTTTGTAAAATAGGGTTAAAAAAAGTTTGATTGCATTAAGTACTAATTGTGAAATTTCACGAAAGCTTAGCTGTTTATTTCACTTTAGGTAGTTTATTTTCACTAATATTTCTATTAAAAATATTTTTTAGGTTAATTTTTGTTTTTAGTGTTTAATTATCTCTGCAATCAAAATGATATTCTTGTAAACAAATGAACATATGTAACAAACATAAATAAAATAAATTAAAATCTACTAGGTTTTTGTCAATGGGAAAGAAATTATAAACAAAGTGTGTTGTATTTTTAATGCAGGTATATAATAGGCGATTTTAACATTCGACTGAATGCTGGTTAAAAATAGCATAAAACTGAGAGTATAAGTTAATTTAGTCCCAAATCATTGATAAAGTTGTATTAATGTATAAAAAGGCGAAATGCGTACATTTTTCTTTAGAGAAAAGAAATAAAAACATAAAATTTATGACGCAATTAAGAGTTTTGTATCTTTTAACACCCACCTGAACATCATGTGCAGGCGAATATTACAAGATAGAATAGTAATTACAATATAAAACAAATTTTATATCATATAAGATAGAATTATATATTATCATACTTTTTTTATGAAAATTAAACGAAGATAACTAAAAGAATATAAGTAAATTTATTAGAACTTAAAAACATTTGCGTCAATTGTATCATGGTATAATTGTCTATATTTAAGTATAATTATCTTTATACTGAACTTGGTAATTGAAGCGGATCTTGTAGTTTTGGATTACAACTGCGATTACATCTGTTATCCTTCAATGAAGAAACTTTAAATAGTGTGTAGAAATCGTGCACAAAGTACAGAAAAAGTATACGTTTATATGCTTAAAGTTAATCAGAGGATACTTACGTACGTGCGTGATAAATATATTTCAGTACAGTCAAATTCACAAGTGCGTGCACATGTGCAGCATTTGGACGCATTACCCGGAAGACGAGGGTTAGAATCCCACAGCGTCGAAAAACAATTATTCAACAAAAAATCCACATTTTTGGTTTCATCTTGAGAGTGCTCAAAATTTATCTTATAGAGAAACGGGACAATGCTTTAACGCAATATTAAAATATAATATATCTGAATAATATAATACAAAAGTAAAATACCATTTGAAACAAAAGCTACAATAGTTTCTTATCGCCTTTTAATCAGAGGCAATGAGAAACTTTAAATTAGCACAGATCGAGAGGCTGAGGAAGAATATTGTATTGTCCTCAGCCGTCCGTTTACTGCAAATTTTTCGATACATTTTCGATCATCTTTATACATTACCATTTTTTATTTTTTGTATAAAAAATATTAATTGTTTTTATATATGTTATTATTATTTACTTTTAATATATTGTAATTTATTATTATATAGTTTTTTTTTGTTAAAAGCATGACTTCATTTTTATTTATATAGAATATAGAAATATTAGTCGGTGATTCTTACACTCTTTTCGCTTGTCTATGCCGGCTACAAGGGGAGAAGCTAGGTAGCCCATATTTACACAATCCATCTGTATACAAAACTTCTTTTGCCACAATAGACAGCTTTAATAAATATGTATTTTGCCTCAAACATGTAGTACTTTTTCGTCTAACTTCCTCATTGCAAATGATACACAGTCTTCTATGGGCAGACTTATGAAAACAGATTGAACATCGAAACTGACTATCGATTCATTGTCATCAAGACAAATGCTTGATCTCACTAACAAAGTTATATTAATCCTTAGTTAAACGCCTTTGTTTTTTTTTTTTCTTAACATTGCGAGGTTTTTAACGGTCTGTTAACCGTTATCAAGTGTCTGATTCGTGTATATATATGCGTTTAATTTTAGTTGCTTGGGGCGTTAGGAAGTCATAAATTTGTCATTGGGATTGCTAACTTAGCAAAAATTCAGAATAGTACGTCTCGTTTTTCAACCAATTTTTTTTCTCGTATTCTAGTGGTTTTCATTGATTATAACTTATATAATATTTAATTATTAATATTTCACTATCGACTAAAAAAAATTCTAGCTTGAAAAACGAGACGTACTATTCGGAATTTTTACTACTACCTTTTTATACATACAGCTAACAGCAAATTATAAATAAAAACCAAAGAATTATCTTTATCCGCACGGAGAATTGTGAGACTTTTGTCTTGCATACTTTGTTTAACGTGATGAATTTGTTATTAGGAAGAATTAGTTGTGAAAAATAATTAAGGGTCTCCTGCGCGGAACGGAATATAATTAATCAATTTCTAGTTAACAGTGACATTAGGCATCTTGGTCCGTCCCGTGGGCGTCCGTATATGTTTTCTTTAAAAAAATAACAAAATTTTGCGTACACCAATGATATTATATACAAATAAGAAGTAGATATGACACTAGTGCACCGAAACTTAGGCACAATTACACCCATTTGGGGTAATTAGATTTCAATTTTATAGACTGTTATCTCTTTCCTTATCATACGCTCCATATGTCACATTCAATAATTTGTCATAATATAATGTAAAGCGGGACAATTTTTAAACGCGGCGTTTAAAAACTGTTCATGTGTCCAAAAACGCGTCATCTATTAAACATTATTGGCGTACACTTAATTTGCATCTTCGCTATGAACTTCAATCATTTTTATAACATTAGATATATGAGTTTACTTAACCATATTTGTTAAAATTAAATATAGAAAATTAGCACTGATTTACACCATAAGAAAAGTTAAAGGGCGATTTGGTAATCAGATAAAAAATGTGGTTCATGGATATCAGTAACAAACCTGTCAGACGTCACACGATTCAAGTGCAAAAACTCGATGGCATTGACATTGAATTAAGGACACTTTCCATCGCCCGAGGCGAATTTCTGAACTAACAGTTTATACAATTCGTAGTAACAAGTGAATTGGTAACAGATTATTACCATATCGTAATCGGTTTTTTGTGGAAGACTAATCTTTACATCAGGTTAAATATTTCTATAAAGCAGCTATACACTATTAAATTCATATATTATAAACACCACGACTGATGTTTATATTAGATATAACGTCTATAGAAGTTGATTAGATTTGTTGAACGGGACAAAATATAAAGAACATTTAGATATATTCACGGCCTATGACATAGATTTCGGCAATCCAAAAATCAATGATGTGAATAAGTTGGTCAAAGAAAAAATAGTTATAACTAAATCAGAACAACCTTTGCAAGACAGGGAACGGCGTCTTCTGTACCAAGGCTTTTTGCCCTATGGAAGTTTCTGACCTATTGGTCAGAAACTTCCATGCGACCCCACCGCAGCACTTAAAATGCCGACACCAGGTTTTGAACTAGTGGCTACTATCTAGGGCCCTGAAATATGTAATAATGGAACTGCTTAAAATAATGTAAAAATGGATTCGTTAATCAATTGAGCTTTCAGTTACTTTAAAATATATGAAGTAGGTTAACATTTATTCCTCTAATTGTTACATAATTTTAAATTTTTCAAAATAAAGTGATGCAAAATATTATCTTTAATTCATTATAAATATTAGTCAGAATTGGAAAGTACATAATTAGGTCTTAATAGAATTTTATGTTATTCTTTCAAAAAAGGAATATACTGTGTTTGATGATAATTTATTCATAGGCTTTCATGTCAACTTCTTTACGCGTGTTCATTTATCAGCCAATGTATATGTCTGATCACTTAGAAATCAGTGCGTATCTAAATGCTTGAATTCGGATGTAAAAACTACATCTGCATTAAATGTAAATGCAAATACGAAACATGGAACGGAATCAATTACGTGTTAGAAATCTTATCGCCTACAAAGTAAACGTTTTTTTTTTCGTTTACACTTAAAACAAAATCTTAAATGATTGGGGTTCTATATTCTGTTTGTGTAATATTATCTTATAACTATTTTTTGGTAACCCGTATTTACGTCTTAACAAAATATATTACAAATTTCTGATTAAATAAAAGAACAAAATAACATTTTAGAAAAATGTGAATACGCTCAAATTTGTCAGAATCTTTCTTTTAAGTTAATTGAATGGGTCGGCGAAAAATTTAGCAACTACTTATGGGGAAATTAATGTGCTTATACTCATAACACGATGACAATCAATTAGTGGGCTGTTTTCTTTAGGTTAGTTAATAAGATTTACTACTACTTTTGTTTAATGAGTGGAGTACATTAGCTGATATTGTGTGATCGCTAACCATCACTTACCAGTTGAATGTTTGCAATTCATCGCTAATAAACAACCCCTATATGATAAAGAACACTCAATATTCATACGTGGAAATATTTGTAGGCACGTATTACATTCAACTAAAACTTCAATCATATTGACCTTATGATACTAAAATATTTGTTCAGGTGATATATTTATCGATCGATTGTAAATTTATAATAAAATTACTGATAAATATTTGAAAGAAACTTTCTTGCTAACAACCATTAAGAAATCCTTTAAACTTAAACTTGTTCTTGTGATCATCATCAACGAAGAAGGTTTTTAAATAGAATTAAAAATCTCATTTAGTTGCGATTGAAATTCTGAAAACATTCAGCACTTGACAATTTTCTAAAAAAGTGCAAATATAGAGAAACCGTACTTACTTCACTAGAATACAAAATAAAGATTCTACTTGAGCCTTCATGAAATTCGAAAAACTTAACCCGAAGAGCATTTTAACACATTTATTAATGTATTCACACTAATGCGTATATTTATAAACTTAAGAATTTTGAATACTTTAATTCCTAGGCGTTATTATTGCTGGATGAACGAAAAACAATAATGAACTGGAGTAGCAACCTTCACATTGGTTACATAAATTACGTCACGCGAGGCGTGCGCGTGTTCCGATTACAGATTTGACGCCTCAAGCGGTAGCAGATTGATACATTTCTCTCTCGTAACGTCTCCAGTATATATTGGGCATTAAACCTATGCTAATTCATCAGTTTCACCTCGGAAGTCAACGAAGGAGGATCAACATGTTAGCTAAAGTTCGTACAGTTCTTTGGTTAAATGAAATATGCGTATATCCGTTTACGTTTAGTAAAAATTTAAGTGTTTTTCTTATTATTTACAGATCTTCTTGCTTACTACCGCCTTATTGGCCATTTCCTGTCAAGAGTACAAGTACAAAATTAAACCAGTCGTTCAGCATGAACAGTCTAAGGACTACAGATACCATCCAACCGAACGAGTTCCATACGTTTACCGCCAGGAACCTGCACCAATTCACGAAGATGAAAATCAAGCTCAGCCCGAAAGTCAGTACCATCACGAAAACGGGCATGCGACTTCATCGCAAAGCATATTGCGACACCAGCCGCAGCCAGTTCAAGAGTCTCAGGAAAACTACCCGGAATATACACCGGAAGCGGTTACCTACAAGCAGTATTTTCAAAGTCACGAGCAATTGAACCAACACCAGCCAGCTCAACATCAGCCCACTGTTCATAATGTACATTACCCAGCGGTCCGTCATCAGATACATGCCATTCAACCAGTACGTCATGAACCTCAGACTCAATACATTCAACCCCATGAGGCTATTCCACACCACTACCCCTTAAAAACTCATCAAGCTCCTGTTTATCATCAAGCTGAGGCTCAAAGCCACGACTCGCACGAAGAACTCGTGGATTATTATGTAAGTTCATTGCCCACGTAGATCTAATAAAAATCGCTAATTTCTTCACGGACGTCCGCCTACCGATTTAACTATCGACACTTTCTACTGTTTTGTTTGCATCACACTTCGTCAATTTAACTCACAAACTAGATCATCCGCGGCATTAGAATAGCAGCGTTATGTAAACAGTAACATTAGAAGTTGCCTTGTGATTTTTAGGCTTACCCCAAGTACCAGTACGAATACAAAGTTGAGGACCCACATACCGGAGACAACAAGTTTCAACATGAGATCCGTGACGGAGATAATGTAAAGGGCGTATACTCCTTGCAAGAGGCTGATGGTTCTGTTCGAACTGTTGAGTACAGTTCCGACAAACATCATGGGTAAGTTTTGTTACTATTAAAACATTGACATATCATTATAGCTTTTCTTTTATATTTGTTACACAGTACATCTCTTAAGTCGGTTTTGTCTAAGTTTCGATAAGAACGATAATTCATGCTATTCAATTTCTTTGCATGTGTTTTTTTATAAAACATGTGTTTTACAGGTTTAATGCCGTTGTTAAACACTCTGCGCCTGGTCATCATGTGCAGATCGAGAGTCATCACGAAAATTAATCATATAGTCAATAACATAATTTAATATTGTTTTCATTATAAATTGTTACTAGATGTGTAATTAATAAATGTAAATTATTTCTTTAAAATTTTGAATTAAAATAAAATTTGAAATTAGTTGAATGTTATTTTAGTTCAACGTTTGGACTAGACGCTAAAAGTACGAGACGGCTTTAAAGAGCATATTACGAGTCATAGTTATTAGATGAAATATTTTATCGTAAATACCATAAAAAACCTTGAAAAATTCTACGTTAATATATTATATTACGGTACAACATGTAAAATGTAAAATATTGTTATGCATTTTTCAATAAAAATGTATTTTGGTATGAGGTAATCTGTGTAATTTGTAATTTACCTGGGCATTAAAAAAATGAAAAATAAAAGCATCAAATTTTGAAAGTAACAATATATTAATTCACATTCCTTTTAGCAGCGAAAATAGAAGTCTTTGAACAGCACCACAGTAGGCGTTACATTCAACGTTTCATAAAATGCATACAACACTAAAATACTTTTAAATTAAAAAGTAGAATTACGCGCATGAACTTACAAACTATAAGAAAATATAATACAAAAGCATGATTTACGTCATCCAAAATATGTACCGTTGGCAAAAATGTCTTAAAGTTTGGGCGCTGGGGTCCCAGTATGGATACACCTTATGAAACGTGTAGCCTCTAAGCAAACCAATACTGTCAATACACGCCGACTTGCAGACCGTTCTGAACCATAACCGAGAAGCTTTCTAGTTTCGTTGTAGCATCCGTCCGTACTTAAACTATGTACATTATACGCAAGTAATAAATAATCGTCGTTGTGGGAGATAGGTAGATGGTTTTTGTGATATTCCCTAGTGCAGGAGGCCGTGACCGTATGCGGGGGCGGCTACAACGGTCTTGACGAGAGGAGCGGTGGCTGGGTGGGCCGCATGACCTTGTCTGCGCACAATTGCGTTGAATCTAAAAAAAATAATAGGTAAATTAATTACTTAGAAATATGATGATTTGAAAATGTGCTCCAAAATGGATGTGAAAGCCTGAAAAACTTATCGTCTATATTTAAAGTAGAAACCGGCAGGTTAAGTTACAGTTAAAAGTTAGTAATAGATACTATTATCCTACTGGTCCACGTTCGGAGCTCGTAGTAAGCTCAAATGGTAAAGCTTAAGACATTAGAAAAACGATAAATGAGGAGTTTTATTAATTCGCATGAGCGTCTCTATTTCGCGATCATTTTTTTTAAACAGGCTCTTTCTTAATGTACACTTACTTCATGAGGTTGTTTTATTAACTCAATTGACAATCGCAAGACCGGAGGAGTTACAAACGGTTGGTGACCTTTGAGGTGGAAATAAGCTCTCTTATTCAATTCAACGGGAATAAGGAATGTGTAAAATAAATTACCCATTATGGTCGTCAGCAGTGTAGTCGACAGTGCGGATGGTGCCATCAGGCTCTACCAAGGAATACTGGCCCTTCACAACGTCACCATCACGCGCTTCCCACTGGTTCTTCTGGTCACCGGTGTGACCATCAGCGACGCCGTAGTTGAACTGGTACCTGGGATGCGACTGCAAAATGACGGATTTACGAATTATCTGTTCTGTCATCTTTGTCATTAGATATGTCCAATATTTAATTTAATATTTTCAATACAATAATACATTGAGATTAAAACATTCGGATGTAATCTTATCCATATATATCCATATACGTGCCAAGCACATTGTGGCGCGGGTAGACAGACCTTAAATACAGCTGTTTTTATCTCTTAAAATAAACATTAAAATATAGCCAATATAACTAGAGGATAACTCAATTTCACTTTAATATATGAAGGTATGAAAAAAAAATCATGTAGTAGACTCTTTCTTGAGATAAAATTCTTCGAAACATTTAATATAGACAGTTGACATATTGCCTAAAGTACTTACGTAGATCTCAACGGGGGCTGCGTGGGCAATTGGTGCAGCGTGATAGACTGGCGCCGCGTGTGCAACTACTGCGCTGTGGCCTGTGAATAATTTTTATCATTGATATAGGGTTTTAAGAATTGACAATACTGTGTCGTATAATAAATAATTAGAACAAAATATGTACATATATGGCACGTAGTGATTATTTAAATATCGTTAATAATAGTTCGTTTTTGTATTGTATAGAAATAATAATAATAATATCAATTTACTTCATAACTAACGCAATAAAAACTATTATATATAAAATTACTTGACTGGACAAAAAGTTAAATGTAAACTTATTAAATAACGACATAAGGGAAATTAACAAATTGATTATGGTTTAAATTAATAAGCTAATGTAAACTTGTCCAAATTTATATGATGGAATTATTATGAGATAAGATGAGATATTTAAAAAAATGTAAATTGACAAATATTTCGTTAAATAATCACCAAAATAATCAAAAAGACTAGGCTCTGATTAACTTATTGTGTTACGATATCAAATAAGATATGTCTCTTGAATAGATAAGAATTGAATGCATGAATCACCAAAATAATTTCATCGCTCAACACCATTGAACTAAAACTATGAAAAAGGAAAATCTATAGCCTACCATAACTCACAACCACCATAACTACACTACGTCACATACCATAACTAACAACTAATATCGTTCAAATTGAATAAACAATACAGATAATTTTAAGCCAGTATTTCTAAGTCCATAAAATTCCTGATAATACAGTACATTCAATTGTAGATTTTAGTAAGTAAGATGACTCGATGGCGTCGTTGCTAAACTATTGGCTTCGGCGCCGGGGGCCGAGGCCAATAGTTTAGTTTACCCGGTTCGATGCCTACACGGGACAAGTATTTTGTACGACCCACAGATCCGATTGACAGACACAGATTGTTACAGATTAGATACAGATTGTTTCCCTGTAGAGTTAATATTAGGCAGGTGGCCGGTTGGAAAAAAAATAGTCAAAACGGGTTACAACATTTTTGAAGATAAGGGCAGCAGAACGATGAGTATGTAAGGTAAGAGAAATGTAAGTGTTACTTTACAATTATCGTGATGAACATATTACCTAATCCCAAGCCATAAGAGGCGTAAGCTGGTGCAGCTAAGGCCGGCGCAGCGTAAGTCCTGGCGTATGCCGGTGCAGGATGTCCAAGGACTATGCTCTGCGATGAGATGGCTCCGTGAGGACTCGCAATTAGTCCACCACGGACGATGCTCACAAGAGCGCAGACAACGACGACCTTTTGAAAAAACAGATAGCGTCAGTTTTTAGAATACAAAATATATGCAAGATGAGTCTGGTGCTCGTGTTCACCTGATGATGAGTGGTAATGAAGTTAATACATAAAAATATTAAACGAAAATTCTGTACTGTATATATACTTATTTTTTGAATTATGAAAATTCAAAATAATTAAACTTTAAAACTATAATTTAAAAAAAACTTTATAAGACTTATCTTTTTTAAACCTTTAAAATGAGATACTTGTGAGTGTCATTTTATTTCCGTTACCTTTGCAAACATTTCCAAAGGGTTTATTCTGAGTTCAGCACGTTACTTCCCGCTAAGCACTAGGGCTTGATGTGTGCCTAATTCTAAGATAACTGGGTTTATATAGGGCCCGCATGCCTTATACATACACACTAGAGCCAGCCTAAAGCACTGCAAGTACAGGAAACTACATGTACGTATGTTGTATGGGCGCTGTCCACGACTGAGCTAAACCTAAGCCCTTAATAATATAGATATGACGCTCATTAGATAATTCTCTTTGATTTTGTATGCATTGTATATATTTATTTCTGTAAATTATTGTATATTGTATTTAACAGAAAATAAATGTATAATATGTACTATGAAGGTAATTGAATAAAATTGCTTACTTAAACCTAAAATCTACTGTTCTAATTTTAATTATTACAGCTACTGAAAAAATTCATTGAAATTTCTATTCATTCAGATCAATAAAAATATTTTAGACAAACATAAAATTTTTGTATATCCTATACTTTCTAAAATATTATGCCATATGAGTGGTATGTCTATTTATAACTAACGTCTGACATTATAAAACCGCACCAAGAATAATTGATATCAGAACTATAAGTTCATACGGATATCTAGGAGAATAGAGTGTAAAATAAATTAATGTATACCACATACATTGCCATTGGTGTAATAAATTCTAAATCTAATGTTAATAACTTTAACGGGGCCAAGGATGTACTATATGAAATCGAACGATTTTTAGAAACAAATAACTACTTTGAAAAAATGTCATTAAGTAGAAATAGTCGATACCTTGGTAAATTAATTAATTGGAACATTTATACCCACGCTATGGTAAAGGTAGATTTTAGTATAAAATTATGTAATTATTGTATATTTATAATGTATTAATTATTATATACAAGAGTACTAGCCATTTCAAACAAAAAAAAAGTTTTTGATTGGCTGTGAATTCTAAATTTAAGTTAAGTTTGTTTTAAAAACATGAAATTCTGTTTACAAAGTCAGTGTTTTGTTTATTGATTAGCTTTGTATTTTCAATATATTTGAACATTTTTCGTCATAATGAATACTTTAAATACATTTTTGTTCGTGTAGTTATGGAATATAAGTTCACTCGTGCACCAACGCGGCACAAACGGCACGTAACATCAATAGCGTTTACGTTGAGAACTTTACAAACCTACAAACGTACAAACCGTTATTAGTTTTCCCGATTTCGATCTGGAAATCTGACTCGAAAAATGAACCTGGCAGACATCCGGACACTTTATTAAAGAATGATGAATTAAAGGCGATTGTGGAAGCTGATGATACTCAATCTACAGCCGAGTTTCAGACAGCAGCTTTTGATTTAGTTAGCGACAAACCGATATTGGTACATTTGCGACAAATTGGCAAGGTAAATAAGCTTGATAGGTGGGTGACTTAACGATCGCCAGCGCGACTACGCATCCTGATGACCTGCCTCGCGCTGCTCAACGCACAGTAATGAAGGAATTTTGAACCAAATTGTTACGTGCGACGAAAAATGCATTCCGTTAGACAATCTAAAGTGCTCAGCAAGTTACCCTGGTTCAGCACCAAAGCAAGGACAACCTAAACGAACAATAATCAATAGAAAGGTGAAGGTCACTGTTTGGTGGTCTAGAGGTGATGTGATTCATCACAACTATTTAAAAAACGGCATGAGCATTACTGCAGATGTGTACTACTGTGAAGAACTGAAGACAATGATGGAGAAGCTCGTACATCTACAACCATATTTGCTCAATCGGTCGTCCCCGCTACTCCTTCACGACAACGCGCGACTTCAAACTGCACAATATACAGTCTCCAAGGTGGGGTTGGAAGCTCTCCATCATCCGCCATACTCACCAGGCCTTGCACGGAAAAAAAAATTTAATTCCCAAGAGGCCAGTACAAATCGCCTTTGAAGAGTTTGTTGTAAAAATCAACTGGACCTCCCGTCCAGTTGATTTTTACAAGAAGGGCATCAACTAGCACTACATTGGCAACGATGCATAGATTTCATGGGTTAACTTAAGATTACTTTGAATAACAGAAATAAAAATGTTTGAAAAAAAAAATACTTTAACTCAGTTCAAACAAAACGGAAACTTAGTAAAACATAGGTAAAGACCTAATATAAACGAAATTCGTAGTGCACATATCAATTAAAATTCAATAAATATTTTTGTGGTCACCATTCAAAATTCCTTTTAAGAACTTTTCATTGTGTGGCAGAACTCATGAACTGACTAGGTATGTACGTATTTTTCTACAAATTTTAATATATATACCCAGTCAGGTCTAAAGTATACTTTAAATCGTACATAGTAAACTAAGTAAGCAAGGAGCAAAGGCCTTCTCTGTACAGAGAGTATTAGTGCATAGTCCACAACGCGACCCCACTGCAGATTGGCGGACTTCACTTATGTTCGAAATATTTTTATATTATGTCGAAAATGTGCAGGTTTATTCACGATGATTTTGTTCGTCGCTGAGCACGTTATAAGTGATATACTTAAAATTGACAATTACATTGTCGCCGGCACCGGGGTTGAACTGCGGTTGTTCGAGTAGGATTAAAAGCGAGCGCCCGGACAATGACTATCACGGCTCAAATCGTACATACGTAACGCAAATATAGAATAGCAGTGTAGACATTGCCCTGGTAGACGTGTAATCCGAGACTTAACTCCGAGGTGTTCAATGAAGTGTTTAATGTAAATTTTACAAGTTGATTTACCACGTGTTCAACTTGAAAGGCAGTATCGAACTATCATTGGTTATCTAATACATGCATGTCTAGTTTTTAACTAAACTCTGCGTTCGATGAAGCTTTAATAGACTTGAGACTTAAAGCAAATTTATCAGTCCCATAAAGAAAATGAAAAAGATATAATATTTTTCAGAAAAAACTTGCAAATTTCACTTGAATTATCAATTGCTTTCAGCAATTTACTGCCTCCGTATATTTTATTTTTTTATTTTATTTAAAACTTTATGGACAATAGCATACAATGGCAAACTTAACACCTATATATGTATGTCCATGCTTATTTTTATCTTGTTTCAGCACGGTTTCTATTACATTTGCATAATCATCAGGTGCAGCATTAACCTTTATGAATTATAAGAACAATTTATTTGTCTTATTTGCATATTAAAGCGGGTGGCATAAGGTGAATGACATCGAGTGGATGAGTCACAGATATCGCAATAGTTCGACATCCGAGACCAATCCACATGCGAGTCTGCGGTGGTAACGCCTATATCCGGATATATTTTCTAAATTAACCACAATTGTATCATTTATATAAACATATATATTAGCTTTTGAATTTTGAATGCTGGCCAATTATTTAATTCAAATTTCGATTGTTTTATGAAAAAAAAATGTGCACTATTTAGAATTTAATTTATTTTTAAATATGGATGCAATGCATCATTGAGGATACGCATCAAATTAATTTTTCATAGTACTGAAAATTATGAATAAAACCAAAAGATTCGTTTATCGCTCTATTAAACGATATATTCAAGTGTAGAAGTCAGGTGAAACAGTGATTGCCGTTGCACTATTACGACAGCCGTGATAAAAGCTGTGAAGACGCGGAAGGAATCCAAACAAACCATGCGTAAGAAAAAAACTGTTGGCCCTTCGGGTGGGGTTAAGCAGATCCACGGTGAAAAGGGTGTTGAATGAAGGCACAGAAATGAATTTATCGAAGAATCATTAGGACATTGTTTGGATGCGCGTTTAATAGACCTGAGACTGAAGAGATCCCGCGTTTTGTTGAAGCGGTACGAGGGAAAAAAAATGAAATCCTTTTTTCGAATGAAAAAAATTGTAACGTAGTGGAGAGCAACAATAAACAAAGTGATAAGGTATGAACCCACAACAGCGAAGAAGTGAGCAGCGTGACCAGCCACGTCCATTTTCCATCTTCACTCATGGTTTTTCTGGGAGTTTCATATTCGGGATTAACTGAGGTGTATATTTTGCAAAAGGCGCAAAAACGAATGAAACCAAACGATGTATATCAAAATACATTTCTATAAACCTGTTTATGGAACCTGTCTCATACCATATTCAATTACACACACTGAGTACTCCAGCAAGATTCTGCCCAGCTCATAGAACGAAAGACACACAAAACTGCCAGGAAGCGCGTAAAATTGACTTTAGCTGACACGAAGACTGGCCCTCCTTTAGTCCAGACTTAAATCCGTATACATTAAGAAGGCAATACTTGTTGTAAAATAACTGTTCAAAAACTTGTCCTGATTCGGAGTCACTAGGCATCCATTATCAAACCAGTTGCCGATATTGGTGTGGACCTCGATCATGCTTCTATAGATCCACGCAGGTTGAAGCCTTGTATTCAAAATTGCAAGGGCCATATTGAATAAGCTTAGTTAACATAATTATGAGTCTATGTTTTAGTTTTATATTTCTTTTTTAAAAATAAACGAGCTAATTATTTCACAATAAACATGTGACAGAACTTATGAACCAACTAGATAATTATATTTACAATGCAATATAATATTCTGTGTTATTCATTTACTTTGCACTACTTTGTTTGTTATAAATTCAAGACAACTGAATCATTGTAGTTTTTTAAACAAAATAATTTTCTGACCATTTGTGATTTTTATAACATATAACATTTTAAACTAACCATATCCATGTTTTGAAAGTACAAAAGACACTTTGACCTCGTTTATCGACAAAATGGTTGCCTGCCTTGTTCACCTTGTCATATGTGGTCCAATTGTAATCACTCTTTTAAAATAGTTTGGCGCAATAGGTAAAATGGTATCAATCGTAAATTTATTTATTACTTAAAATCTTTTTAATTGCCTTCTAAAATAAATCTTATATACACAGCGACTTTTTTGACTGTGTTATCCCTGTTATTGTATCCTTTTTCGTATTCATCTTAAAAGCAATCTTTAAAAACAGCGGACCGCCGGTTACTTTACCATCAGTCTATGATACTCACTTAAAGTGGACTTCTAAGACGCCGTGGCACTCCCCCGGCCAAGCCCTACCATGAGTACAAGAAAACACCATTTCACAGAAGAACATTGTCCATCTTCCGCAGTACCATGCCGCTGTTACAGAACTCTCATTATCATTTCTTATCACCTATTTCATTCTTCCTAAGACTCCTTGAGTCTCGAAAGCAAGAGAGAAGAATATTGAGCGATGAATAATCTTCGTGATAAAAGAACGAGGTCAAAAACGTACGCAAAAGAATCCGTTTATTAAAATGATACTAAGTTGTTATAATTTTCAGCGTGCATCTAATCTTCCTAGCACAAGACCCGCAGTACGCCGCAGATCGTAGCACTAGCAACTCGCTTGCTTCATGTATCAGGTTTTATTTTTTTGTCCCTAGATTAAAATTTTATAGTTTTTTTAAATAACTTGTTACGATGTTTTGATTAAATAGAGTTTTTTTTTCAATGCAAATTTCTAGTGTGTTATAATTATATTATATTTCTTTACTGCCGTCAATCCCCTAGTCATTGTTTTGCAACTAATAAGTAGCAATAACTAAACAAATGTAATACAAGTACGAGTTTGAACTATTCCTAAAATGTGTGTACTCTTTTTTTCTTAGCTAAGTTTAAAATTTTGTAAATAAAGTTATTTGATATATTTTTTACTGTACATTTATTTAGTTCGTTAGACTCTTTTTTTTAATTATTTCAAGAAAAAGAGCGTGAGGGTATTTTACACGTATTTTCAATACGTTATTGGTAACGAAATAAAATCATAGTTATTTATAGTAACAGTTGTCGTAAGAACTTTTGTTAAAGACAAATTAAGTATTTAATTAAGTATTTTTTTTATTTAAACTACGAATGATTTCTTATTTTTACTTGTATTCGAAAAAAATAATTACAAAATTTCTAGACATCTGTCTTAAATAATTTATAATAACGTTATAATAGGAACACCGTTTCATAATTAAAATGCCATAATTTTAGAAATACATTTGCCGATATTTTATCTTTAAAAAAATTAAATAAGCGTAAAATTTCTTCTATTAAATATGACAATTATGCCTTCTAAGAGTATTGCGTAACTTAAACGTAAGTTTTATAATTATTAGGATTAATCACCGTAATAAATTTTCTGAATTGGAAATTAGTTACCGCTTTATCGGTCTGATCTTAGTGTTTTACTCTGAATATGTTTATATACGTAGTTATTTTATTAGATATTTTAAGAAACTATCACAATTGCACGCCAAAATAGAGTATTTCAAGAGAAAATACAAACAAAGGTTAGAAAGCAGAAAAATGTTCAACGCTTGTATTATTAGGTTCACTTCGTAATCCGGTAGCCTCTTAACTGTACAAGAGATGTTGAGAGATGATTTCATTTGCCTGGCCAGGCAATATCGTGTTATACAATTTTCGGTTTTTGCCTGCACGCCACAATAGAAATTGGGCCGTTTCGGACTCGATCTAGAAAGGGTATTGAATTGGCTCTTGCACCGTTGCGTGTCACGCCGTGCAAGCGCATTGCGACAGCATTGTCAGCCATGTCACGGCCGCGCCCAACGGTGAATGTTCGAGGAATGCATGCGTTACTCAAATAAAATATAACACCGATAACGCCTCGTGGGCCGATAAGCGTAGGTCCGCTTTTGATTACTCTGTCCCTTAAAATCTCGCCTATAGCTACAGTGTTGCAATCTTAGGCAGCAAATATTACGCGATCATTGTTCGTCATAATGCGAAAAACTTTCTTTTAGAAACTAGTTTTTTGTTTGATTTCTGTAATAATGATCCTGCTTAAGTTATTGATTTTACCATTGGCGACTTCGTTTCTTTACTTCGAATTCAAAAATAAAATAAAACCTACACAGACTACAATCAAAACAATCTATCGTAAATAGATTACCTCTGAACGAAACTGAATTAACACCATACGCCCATTTTATAGAACAAGAAATATAAGGAATGGTTTTAAGTATATAAAGTAAGAAAACTCTCTTAAAAACAATATTGAAAACAATGCCATAGACTTACTTAGACGATAGGCACACGATTAACATAAGATTTAAGATCTGATAAACAATACAGAAAACAATGACATAGACTTACATAGAGGATATGAACACGATTAACATAAGATTCAACATTGAGGTAACGACTATGATAGTCGACCTAAATAATGAACGAGCATAAAAATATAATATTTATAAACATAATTGCCTTTAAAAATAGCCATAGTGTCCTTGTAAAGTAATTCCTAAACGGCACTCCCAATTGCTCTACTTTTTGACGCTTGTACACTTTCACTATCATTGTATACGCAATAACGTACATGTATTCTATGTCAATATTAATTAGTTGCTGTCGAGTACTGATTCATGATTTTTGATCGGCTCACAATTCTTTTGACGCCATAGGGTCTAGTCAATAAAAAGTGCGATGCTCCCTCTCTTTTTCAAAGTTATTATTTTTATTATTATTATATACTTTATTGTACACCACAAAGAATTTGATACAATTAGTATGAAATAAGTCTTAAAACCTAGGTACAATAAGGCGGTCTTATTGCTAAAAAGCGATCTCTTCCAGACAACCTTAGGACGAGGAAAAATAAACTAATGAATAGTGGGAGGTGGTGTGCTCAATAACCTTACTTAATACCAAATAGACTTAAATATAATAAAATAAACAAAATTATAATAAATGATATCTGATGTATAATTTAAAAACTAAACTAAATAATTCAAGTGACTCAAGCAACTCAAGGAAGCTTATCCCGAATTCGAATAAAGTCAATTATAATTAAAATATTGAATACTTAGATGAGCGCTAGGGGAACGCTCTAGATACTTTCATTTCAAACTTAAAATTTCTAAATCATTCTTCTATACATATTTTGTTTCCAAAACTAGTTCTATTTATCTATTTATTATATAATTAATAGACCAATATTATATTTTCGAGTATTTTTATTGTATGAAATAAAATGCCTGTTGTTCTTAAAATCTAAAAGATATAAAGTAAAATCAAAATTCTTAAAGTTCCGTTAAATAAATGAATTTAAAATCGGAAATAATGTTCATTCTAAACTTCCATAAATCTAGATGTGCACAACTACAAAAATAAGTAAAATATTTTTCAACTTGTAATAAATACTTCCTGCATGCATTTTAATATATGTTTACAAAACATATATCATGCAAACACACATGCACAACATGTTCATAATATTATCGAAAAAAATCCTCCAATATTTACAAATCATAGTCTAAACCTGTTATAAATATTAAATATCTAATATATCTAACAATTTAATAATCGACGGCCTTCTCTTCTTAACAATTTTCCGCACGACTTCTTTTTGGCCGGATCGGGGTGGTTTGTGATTCCTATCATCATCATCTTCAGGATGATCATAATCTTCGTCCACGTCCGATGGATAATCACTGACATCTGGTAAATCCCTTGGTGGTTTCTTCAGTTTCTTCTTTGGTACCAAAACGTAATCACTGAGGTCGTCAGTAGGATAATAACTATCCGCATTTTTATGTGGTCTATGCTTCTTTCTCGGCCGCTGGATTATTTCATCGTGGTAAAAATTATCAGAAGAAGGCATGTCCGGTAACACCGGGTAACTGTATTTAACTGCTGTTGGAAGACCGATTTCATCTGGTCTCGGTAAATTAGGTTGACCCTTTGGTTTATGACGTTGCGCGTACTTATCTAAATCATATGTAGATGAGTCACTATATTTGTCGTAATTATATGCGTCGGTGTAAAGGAACGGGTATTTATGTTTACGAATATCTAAATCTTCTAGGTTCTTATAAAAGTGATTACTATCTTTTGTATGTTTGGTTTTACAGTTACTATCGTGAGTAAAGCCGAAACGGCCATAATCAAGGTCGAAGCCAGTTTCATCGTGCAAATGTTTCTTTGGTAGATTATAAGGAAAGTCAGAATAAATTGATTCAGAATCAGTGCCATACGTAGGCCTTTTAAACATAGAATAGTCTTTATAGAATGAATCGTACGGTCGTTTTTTGTTTCGCTTTTCGTTTGATGAATAAAACTCTAAGGGTACATCCTCAGAATATTCATAAGGTTTTTTATAATCTCTGTAAGATTTGTCTTGAATATTTTGGTGATTGATTACAGGTGCTTCTGTTTTCACCTCTTCTTTGTTGACTTCTGCCATAAATCCTTTTCCGGGGCTGGCTGAGTATTCAACGGTTCTTACGGACCCGTCTGGTTGTAGCACGCTGTAATGACCTGAAATTATTTGAATGTTAATTTATATTTTTATTAACTTCTGCACTTATGTTAAGGAAAATACACACCTTTAACAGTGTCACCTTCTTTGGATTCCCATACTGTTTTAACATCCCCTGTCTGTGCATCCGAAACTCCGTAACCAAAGGAATAACTTTGACTTCCCTAAAAAAACACCAAATGAAATTAAGAGCTCTTTTAAACGCTTAATTCAGGACCCTAATTAAGCTAATTTTCTTTGTTTGAAAAAAAGAACGCGGAATGTGTGAAGTGATAGCTTGCGTGTAATTATTCGATATTTTACTCATTATGACAACATATTGCGTGTTTGTTCGTTACAGCTTATTATTCCGAATTGTTAATGAATCACTTCATCAAATACATACCTACATTGTAACAATAAAATGGAGAAATAGTGGTACAACATGTAATCTCAACAAGTTGTTGAATAGTGCTTAGATTTGTAAAACAATAATATTTATTATTTAACATTATTAATAAATTAATTGCATAAAAATAAAAAGGGATATAGTAATTTTTTATCGAAATAATGGTATTCTCAGTCAAATTTTTCTTTAAGTCTTCGAGACTCTTCGATTTAGGACTTATTAAGCATTTACAATAACTTTAGGCACATAGAACTTCTCATGGCTCAAAATAAAATAATGTGCTTACAAGGTACGAAATATTAGGTTTCTACTTATAAAGATCAAAATTAAAAAAAATTATAGTGCGTTTAGCACTTTGAAACCATATCTGTCAAGATTAAATTTTTATTACCTTGCCGTGTATAAAACCGGTCACATAACTGGTAAATACAATGTGAAATAGCTGCCTGCTGTTGTCATACATATATGTCGAAATAAGCTAATACTGTCTTAACGTATTAAAAGCTATTTTTTTAGACCTTGAGACTATTAACTGTTAATAGTATAAATTAATCAGATCATTATCGAACTGGATGTAAAATACGATTACACTATGAACTTGAAGTCAAACCGTTAACTAAATCTGATATAAAAACGAAAATAAATGACAATATTCAAATGGCTGTAAGTAACGAACGAATTTAAATTAGAATTCTAAACGAATTCATTCACAAAATATTAGTTTCATTCATTAATGCCTCAGTAGTATATGCAAATAGCTATAAGATAAATTAGGCGTACAGGTTTAAAATGTTTAAAAATGTAAGTTGATTTATAAGTCACTAGCACGCGGCCATCTTCTTCTCAAGTTCAAGATAATCCGGTTTCATCGTTCCTCATTACAATGTCAATGACGGATATGCGGACGTTCACTTTCATTTGTTTACTTTCAACGCTTCATTTCAATGTATGAATGTATTCATTTCCATGCAATCAGTCTTTCCTCCATTTAAATACGTCAAAATAATATTTTTCACATTCTACAATTGCTAATAATTAAGGTTATATAGTAATTTAAGCATCTGAAATAATTGATAATAAAATAGATTTTAGATAGAATATATCTATTAATAAAAAGTAATAATATATAAAATGACTGATATGAAGTATTAAAATTAGCCAGATATATTAGTCTATACAGAGTAGGAATAATGATAATTTTTTAACTATATCAAAAAATATATCTATTATTTCTTATAACTAATAAGTAGGTACCAACTTGTTAATGAATTCTGTGATGAAGTGAATGAGGAAACTAGCATGAATATTGCAGAGTAAGTTAATTGAGCACAAAGAAATCATTTGGAAAATAAATAACTTGATAATATTAAATTAATTTACACAATACATCCAGTGATTATTTGTTCTTAAAGCCTAAAACTTTAGTTCAGATAAAATAGTCCGCTGTGTAAATTACTTTTACTTTAACGCAATAAGTGACCGCCACACTGGAGGAAAGTGGGTGAACAACACCAGTACTTGCCGGTCACTATAACAGCTGTTTCGTAATTTGAGTACAACTTTCGATAAGTTGAGGTGCATACTCTGATAGCAATTGCATATAAATTAGGTTTCGTTGAACGCAAATGGATTTATTACGTCACAAGAATTTATGATTTAAGAAATGTAAGCAGCCCTAATAACATAGCAGCTATCAATGCGTAAGCGCACTTACTTATGAGGGTTCATATTTTATTAGCAACCTGAAATTACTATTTTTGTTTGATCAGGTAGAAATGCGGTAGAGCCACGCTGCAGCTCCTGCTGTTATACGAATAGACAGGTACGTACGAGGACGTACTATGGAAAGACCCGGAGCGAAGTGAAAGTATAATACTTTCGCATTTCGTCTGGTTAGTGAGGTAAACAGCCATGCACATTTTTAATAGTAGGCAACGCATCTGCGACTTCTCAGGTATGTCCATGGGCGACGGTAATCACTTAAAATGAGGTAAATTGAAATTTGATGCTGTGATAGCTCATTTCCATTACTAAGCTTTTCATCCGCGGCTCCACCCGCATGCAGTATATTTTATATCGTGCTTAAAAAGTACCTACGAAACCCTCCATGCGCGAGTCCAACTCGCACTTGAAATTGGCCGATTGCTTTAACTTTATATAAACTTATAATCATCAGCATTTTACAGACCATTATATATATATATATAATGGTCTATAAAATATCGTGAGGAAACCTGGATATTTTCGAAAAGAGAAGTCCGCCAATCAACAGTGGAGTCAAGTGACGGACTATGCCCTAATACTCTCTGTATAGAGGAGGCCTTTGCCCAGCCGTGGGATATATATAGGCTGTTACTTTATTTTTATTAATTTACTTTTAAATTGAATTTTCCATATATCTATCAATGTTTTATTAATGTAATGATAACAAACTAATAGTAGTGACTTAGTTACTGCAAATACTTTTCGTAATTTTTTCACCTGATGGTAAGGGAATACCGCCGTTAATATTTAAGGTTACTTATTTAATTTCCTTAGGCAACAGCAAGTCTGTTTCATCTTTGTAGATTCCACGGTACTGTTGTACTGTTACTGCCTGGTATCCAGAAACATTTATGCATATTTTTCTTGCTCGGGAATGATTGATTCCTTGCATAACTTTGCTAAAACTGCACAGCAGAGAGAAGCGAAGGAAAAGAAAAAGGTAAAATCTTGATATCTCGACTTGCACGATCAAGACACCGCGGCAAGACCAAGTCTTTGTATTACTATTCCAGGCACCAAAATAAACAGTAAATAGGGAATAATTTTTCCAGCAATGAGATCCACCAGACTAATAATTAATGCAATGAAATCTATATAATCGGAATAAAAAAGATCCTGGAAAAATTACTCGACAGAAAAGCCTTATTTTAAGCTTATGTGATAAAGATTATTATGAAAATTATTTTTCTTTGTTGCAAAAAAAATAAGGCTACGAAAAAAAGAGCTGAAAAATACCTAATATGAGTAGTACTGGAGACCCTTTTTTGGACCATAAATATCTTATTTTGCGACTTTTCTCTCTTTTACCATCATCATAATTTTGGTATTCGGATCGTACATACATTACCCTTCTAGAAATTATTTTTAGTGTTAATTCAAAGTAAACATCATGTCGTTGCTATTCAAACAAAGTGCGCCAATAATTAAATACTCGTTCTTAGCTTAGTTGCAAACGGACACTGACACATCGCGTGCCGCATTTCTCAATGTAAATAAAAGGAGAAAATTGTGCGTTCCTCTTACAATCTTGTACATTTGTATAATTACTACTTGTCATGAACGAAACTAGAACCAAATAATATTTAATACTTGTATTAAAATAACTCTTTAAAATACAGTACCTAATATACCTCTCAAAGATTTACTTAGCTTGCAGAATGTTTTCTTCAAAATCTGCAAGCTAAGTCATGCAGATTTTGAAAAAAATTATGACTAGATATAAATAATAACAAAGGAAAATTACTCTTTATAAAACTGGATAATAGAAAATAGTTTTCATTGCGTCGCTAATTTTCTTCTTTCTGTATATTTATCGATTGACTGATAGAGAGCACCTTATGGTGTAAGTCCGCCATTGTCACATTTATGCACAGGTTATTGTGCATGTAATGAAGTTTTTAAATGAATAAATATTTTCCACATTTTTATATCGTAGAGGAACAGGAAGAAAATTAAAAAGTATCTATGAAGTCATCACTTTAAAAAAATAAACGTTTGAAAAGTGTACAAATATTTAGTATTAGTGTATGAGATTTTATTGGTATGCATCTTATGATATAAATAGTGTCTCTTACTTTATCGTTTAGAAGAATCTGTGAACGATCGACGGTAATAAGTTCTTCCTCTTTTGATAATATCAACCGGGCGAGAAGAACCTGAAATCCATGGTAGGAAATTAATGTTGCGGAACAGCTAGCATAGTTATTATTCCAATTAAATTGTATACGGATGTACAAACTTTTTCATTAATGTAGTTATTACTCCTAATTAATTCTGCTATTTTTAAACGCTTGAATCAATTTCAAAATTTCATTCACATTACATAACATCATCATTAAATCTTATTTTTTTTTGTATTATACGATTGTGCACGCTTACACAATTCTACCATTGAAACAACAATTCGTAGAATTTGCCAAAGATAGTAACACTTACCATTAATGTTAAAGATTTTGCCATCACGTTGACTTAGCGGCGCCTTCGTCAACATTCACAAAGTTTCTTTCAAAAAGTTTTTCCAATCCACTGGCACAATATTTTTTTTATTTTTTTTTATACCAAACATGTATGAACTTGTCCGTTTCCAAGGTTGGGACTACGCGAAGACGCGTCGTATCGTCCACCACTTACCTATTTATAAACGCGCACATTCACACCACCTAGGTTTGAATCAAGAGAAAGATACGCACACAACAAACATTACTGTTAGAGTCATATTTTTAATTTTAATTTTTTAGACATCAAATAAATCTTTCTAGCAAAACATGAAGTAATCTTCACTAAACTGTTCAACTTAGCATTATTTTTTTAAATAATACAGTTTGTCTTTCTACTATAAGATGTTATTATCTACTTGCATCAGTGATCTTCATACATCATCATATTGACAAAAACATTTTATTTTACAGGTGGAAATCATATGTACTTTCAAAAAAGTAAAATGAGGAAAATTTCTCTCACAGGTTCAAGATAACTAATAACGTTCTCTGATGCGGATTGGCGAACATCACATAAATGTTCGAAATATTATTTTTTTTGTAATTATTTCGAAAATCTGCAGGTTTCCTCAGGATGTTTTCCTTGATTACAACAATTTCATTGGTACCGGCACCGGGGATCGAAGTCAGGTTGCTCCAGTACATTGAATTGTACATTGACGAGCGCCCGGTCAATGAGTTTTTCACGGCTTTCAATGATATGTATATTATAAATCTATTTTCAACATTTTCATTTACAAACCGATTTATCGTACGCTAAATGTTTTACTCAAGTGCGTTTGTACCTTTGTATGATATAATATAAAGTATTTTCGTTTGTCTGCGATTTGTTATGACGAATTGAATCTAAACAGTTAAATACTAATTAATATTTAATCTAATCTAAGATTGCCTGGAAGAAATTGCTACCTTAGCTATAAGGCTGTTTCCTGTATTTTCTTGTGTGCAATAAAATATATTATATTCTAATATGACTGAAATTATAGAAAACCTATATTTTCTACACTGCAGTGTTTTTCAATTAAAAACAATTTAATAATATCACTAAAATAATACCCGGAATAGATAGACGGATAACTAATTACGATAATCCCCATATATTGTAAAAAGTAACGTACGTGTTACAAATGCGTCAAAGGAACAATGCCCGTATACTTTACTAATGTATAAAAACTTAATGATGTTCATCGCTTGGGCTAATTAATCACTATGTCTCAACAATGGAAGAACTTTCTTTATGGAGGAAGTATTTTAAGTGCCAACATGAAAAATAATGAGGTATTGCAAAGTCTATTAACACTGCTTAAATTTAATATCCCAACTACCTACGAATAATTGAAACTAAAAACGGTTATAGTAGCGTTAGACTCGTCATGATTTATATGCGAATGATAAGGTAATAATTGATCCCGATTGATTATTTATTTAATGGTGACGTTTTCCATTAGCATAGACGTATTGCAAAAGTTGTTTCCAAAAACAGAATATTTTTATTCTATTAGAGTGAAAAATATATTGTATCTCATTCAAATTCTTTTTACCTAAAGGCACATGCCAAGATTACGATTTTAAGATGGTTGTAATGAAATACGTACAAATTTATATAAAGGTATTTATTTAACAGTGATATTTTTGTTAAAATCTTATATACTAAAGCCTTATCTAAATACACAATCGATAAATATGAAACGGCACCATATATCTGTTTGAACAAAACCATTATCACAGTTTAAAGGTCTTAATGACTTCTCTGTATGTATCCTAATTAAAGTATGAACGTGTTTTGTGGTTTTCATAATTTAGTAATAGAAACGCCATCTAGTGGTATCCGTAGTAACCAGCGCCGTCGTCATGTGTGTTGTAGATTTGCGGGTGCTGAGCTTGACCGATACGTTTAACAATCGCGTTAAAACCGTTATGTTTGTCAGCTGTATACTCTACAATGCGAGTAGTGCCATCTGGTTCGGCCAGTGTGTAAGCTCCTGAAAATCAACAAGAAGAAGTTACAGATGAGGCTTATTGAAGTTAAACTATAAAAATCAATCTACTATAAAAAAATTATTAATTTTAATGTAATATAAACCGAAATTATAATAGTAAAGTTGTAATTATAAAACAAACATTGATTTCGAAAATACCTTTAACGACATCACCATCACGAGACTCCCACTGCGTTTTATGGTCACCGGTATGTGGGTCTTTTACTGAATAATCGAAGGAGTATTTGGGATAAGCCTAAAATTTCAAACAAAAAAATTAACACTGAATTATGTTCTGTATTCAAAAATAATTTTCTGTATTTAAAAATAAGTATTATTATAACAAACAATGAGATTTGTAAAAGTTCTTTTTAATTCGCTCTGGTTCTTTCAACCGTATCAAACCTGTAAAAGACATCAACGCGTTGGTAAAATATGTCACCAAGTACATGTTAGGATTATAATTTTTACTTTTTTACGAGACAATCACGATTAGTTATGCCACAACAGTTAGAATTTAGAAATACTTTTCATTTGTTTTGCATTAAGGATTAGTATATAGAAGTCATACGCAACAATTGTTATACGATGATAGCGATAAGCGCCTACAAAAAGTGTCGTACGACATTTTATTAGGCGCTTTTTTTTATTGTTTCGTATGAAATTTATGTTCCAATATAAATTGACATCGAGTAAATCTCGCTTATATGTTATATTTATGTATGTATTATGAATGAGTGAGGTAGACATGCGGAACCGGAATTGTAATGTAAGTAATCGCTTTATAACAATTATGTCAGGTATATAGCAGAGGGCAACCTGTCGCCTCCCTACTTATGAAACTAATTGAAGATCTATGCAATTTGGGTTTGACTTGGCTGGGTTGCATTTATCAACCTCTCCCGTTAGAAACACAGGTCATGAGTTATTGTGTTTATGTTGGTATAATTGGAATGGTAAAATTTCGTTACATAATAATCAGCGTGGCCGCCGTCTCCTTCGTAACCACCGGAGTATCCAGCTGCGGTACCGTAACCACCCGCATCTGCGTAACCGACGTACCCGGCGTTAGCAGCCGCGCACAACGCTACAAATACAGACACCTGTAAAGATAAGATAGTTGTTTTTTTCGTTCATCTTTCTTACATTAACTTATGATAGTGATTACAGCTAGATCATTAAAGCTTCATCGAACGCAGAACCCGTGTGTTAGCCAGATTCACAAGTTCGAAAAGACGGCTCTCCGTGATAGGTTAAAGGACAATCGTATAAAATAATGATAAACACAAATTACATTTTTAAAGTTATATTTATATTCATATCACTTTAAAAAATTCAATCTTCAAAGATCCAACCTAATTCCAAGTTAGTAATTGTAGCCACTAATCTATAGCAAGATAAAATTACTATACTGTATCTTACAATTAAGAAAAAATGTCAATTATCTAATGTCCATGCAAATTGTAAAGAACTCTACATAATCTCTTGGATCTCTATCTGCATCTAGTGTCAACATCATAAGGCAATATGAAGAATGATACTTATGAAAGTCCGATAAGCACTAAATAGCCCGGAAAGCTGCTATGCAAAAAGCTTCCATTACATGCATTATAGCGAACGATTGTCACGCTTAGTTGTTAATTCATTATCACATTATTTCTTTACACTACGGAAAATGGACTTCAAAACCAATAGAACACAGTGATCAACAAATTATAATGATTAATAATTCCCGAAGCAAAAGTGAATTATAACTTAAACCAACATCTACTACTATAATTATGGTAAGACACACTTACTTGAAAACCACGCATTTTTATCTGAAATTTTAATATAATCTATAGGCGGGTCACTTTCGTCCTCTTCAGCGATGCTGACAGGAGCTGAACTGACACTGCTACGGCCTAAATCCATTGCACACTATTTATATCGAACATTGCTGGTTGCACCACCTCTCTAGTGCACGTCTCTTCTCACCGCCTCTGTTTGCGTATGCCTCAGCTGTGTGGAGTACATACAGCCTTCGGAGAAGTAACAACATATTTCTAACAAATCTTCATGATTTCGAATTATAAAAACGTTACTAGGTGACTCAAAACACCTGAACTTTGTTACATCCTCTTCAACCATCAAACCATACGATTTGACGAAAAGTGGTTCATTGTAAATCATTACGTCAATTCTTTATAAGAACGTTTAGTATTTTAACAAAACAATGTGTTTTTTTACGTCCTGTGCCACTGCATTACTTAATAGGCATAAAAACATCTTTTCATTCAGTTAAAAAATGTTATCAGAGTATTTGGTCTTGTAAAAATACGTGCAGTGTCATTAAATTACCAAACTGTGGTTATCACACCAGGAAGTAAATTTCTTGTCTTTTCATTATTTTCTTAATCTTGAAACTTTTGTTAAATGCGTTGTATTGTTTCTTATTATTTCCTTGTCTTTTTATAACAATGTTTTTGGGATAAGTATTTACTAATTATTATTTTTTTGTTTACTAAGATAGTTTCAATCTTAATACTGAATTCCAAGTTTAACTAATCTTGAAATCTAATGCCTCTCCACTTAAAATTTATTTAATTTTGTATTTTGCTAAGATACTTATGTTTATAGTCCTAAAGATAGTGACACGCAGCTAGAAATTCACAACAGCATTTAATTTAGTTATGTAATAACCGTTTACTTATGTAAACTAGCAAAAGTGGATCAACTCCTTGAAATCGGTATCGGTAACTATTAAAGACTGTTACAATGAAAACGACCGGTGTAATTAAAAAGAATTTCAATGTTCATTTAAGCTTTTCATTTTCGCGTAAAATCAAAATTATTAAGCACACAACAATATTTATTCGAAATTAAATTAATTTATAAGATTAGTCTGTCATCATTTCTCATAATTATATTGACGAAACTACAAAATGGAGCATTTCATTATTTATAAAAGCGATAGGAATTCATAATACCTGCAACCTGTAAAGTAATACCGAACTCATCCGATAATAATTTACATAGTCTATCATTATATTCAGATGTATATTTTGTAAGAACTTCACTGTACATAAATAACTCATGCTTCCACACAGTTTTAACGATTTTAAAAAACAAATGGTAATCCGTAAATAATCTATGAGCTAAATAAAGACTAACGTATAAAAGTTAGCAATCTTAGGCAGGTATTGAAACCCAAACTGCTAATTAGGTTTCTGTTTTTAAGATTTATTCAGAAATATGTATCCCACAATTTTACCCACACAAAGTATGGGGAAAAGGCTTACTACGTTTGGTTGAACCTGGAGCTTTGAGTAATACACTAGGAGACGATATGTACGACGGATGATAAAGCCACAACACAAAACTTCTATTGTTGTCATCTATTTATTTATTTATTTATTTTTATGCACAAATAGTACAAAGGCGCCCAAACTTTGGGATGGTACAGAGAAGATTAGATAGGTGCACAGAAAGGTATCAAAAAAAACCTGCCAAGTGCGAGTCGGACTCGCGCACGAAGGGTTCCGTACCATTATATATAAAAACGGCAACGAAATCTAGCTTGTTGTATGGTAGCCCCACTTAAATATTTTTCTATTCGGTTTTTTAGTATTTGTTGTTATAGCGGCAACAGAAATAAATCATCGACATAAGCGACATTTAGCCAACCTGATTACGAAAGCAAGCGCATTCCACAAAAATAAAGACTGGATAACGAAAGAAGAGTTTATGATGTAAGAACGGTGAGAGGGACATACTAGAAGACGATTATGCGAGGAGCAAAGATTTTTGTTGCTAACAGCACATAGATATTGAAAATTATGGGATAAGTAAGTCGGGGTAGAAGAAGAGTTTAGGAAAGAGTTAGAAATAGTCAGTGCCCTTAGAGAACGTCGTTGACGTATTGGTAGCCACTGAAGTTGAGCACGTTAAGTAATATACCCTACATGGTCTTACTATCTGGTTAAAGGTGATCAGTATCCAGGTTAGGTTAACCCTGTCATGTCATGACAGGGTATCTTTTGAAGATTTCCCCCCCCCCCCCCCCCCCCCCAAAAAAAACGGTTAGGTGGTTCACTTTTTGATCTCAGCAGCTAAATTATGGTTTATGCAATAAATTATTTCTGGGAGCGTATCTGTGGTCGCCTGAGCGTACACGCACATTGGTCATGAGTAATAACATTAACAAAAACAGAAAATAAAATAGGGGAGACGATAATGTCTTGAAGGACACCTCTTGCAAGATTAAGCCAGCTTGATGACAATTTACCAATATTAACTGCGTGCTGGCGCCCTCGAGGACAATTGATGAAAACTATTACAGTGCTTCATGGGAAACCATCAAAATCAAACCATCCATTATAATTTTAAGTATTTATAATTAAGCTTCATCACAGGATCATTATTAAGTTTGTATGTGAATCTACACATCCGAAGTACAAATTGAATGTAGTTCAACAACAACAATTTAGACATGGGCGTTATAATGGAGAAACTATTTCAAAATTCTGACAATTTGTTGCAACGCCACTAAAGGTATGATTTGTTATTGCAATATGGTTGAGTGCTATTCACCAATAGCGCTAATTATTGCAGTCAATAAAAAAAATAAACCGTCTGACGACGCTAGTCAACTTAAAATTTATATATACTTCAATTTTTTTGTACTTTGAATAACGTATTTATATTATGTATATAATGTATATTATATTACATTATTTATTGTCATAATACATTAATATGCAAGATATTACCCGATAAACATTACGTTTAAAAATTTGAATTTAGAACGAAAAACTTCAAAACGTGATTCTCGGCCAAGGAAAAGCAGTGAATAATAGACGCGTATACTTGGCCGTCAAGCTTCGTTGGAGATAGGCCCCACATAACTGTAGCAAAAAGCAAATCAAAGGTTCTCCTATATTGCTTTCAGATTTGTGATAAAATACGCAAATTAATTAAATTGTTTTTGCAAGCTTTTTATGCAAGAAGGTGGGAAGTGAGCTGGCGGTTCACCTGATGTTTTGATGAGCCTATCCGAATGATGTACATATAGAGTCCGTACGTCCGGTGCACCTCGGGCAACAGTCAGAGAGTTTCCCCATTGATTGGCCAATCCACCACGATGACAAATCCTAATCAACCACATCATAGTTCAGCGCTCAAGCCCGCTTTTCGTCTAATCTCGATCAACATCGAAGGATTCTCTGAGGACAAGTCAGAATTATGTCGTACAACACACTGCGGTGTCCTCTGTAAGAAACCCAACGAGACGAAGCGAGAACAAAAAATTAAATATGAAAAAAAAAACAATACTGCTATTAGCTTTTGATAGCTAGAAAACTGAGTGAACTTATTGCGTATAACTTGTAGAGCAGAAAAATTAGCACGGTATTTGTAAGTAGGGCAAATAGTGATGTCGGCAAATTCACACGGCCAGTTGACTGTAAATTACCATGACTTCACCTTGTGTTAATTAAAAACCAATAGTGGATCAAAAGGGCATTTCTGTTTTCTTAAACTGGTTTCTTATTAGAGATCCCTTCTAAAGCGAAGAAAACTGGTAGGTAAATGGGAGTATTTGGTTAATTGTTTGAAGCTTAGATTAAAAAAAAGAAGAAATAAAGCCTAAGACCCAGTTTGATTATTGTTGAATATGATGAGTGTTTAAAACTAAAGCACAGTTTACTAATAACTTACTACGTAAAGCCTAAGATATATAACTAAAACCCAATATACATAGTAACGTAAAGTTACAGATTGTTATTATGTATCCATAACCTGAATAATGTAGTGAAACATCAACCATGAAAAAATCAATAACCGCTGACCGGATACCCTTTTACCCACATTGTGAACATAGACCGTGTTATCACATATTGTAAAACACATTAATAGTATTAATGTGTTTTACAATATGTGATATGAATTAGTTTTATTGAATACGTGTTTATCCTTGAAATTAAAAAAATACATGATATTTTTACTGGGCGATCGGGCCCTTTAATAAATTCCTTTAAATAAAATCCGGTGAGATTTTCAGAATTGAGCTTACAATTAATAGATGGTTTAATATTTTTCACTTTTAGAGAAAGCAAGATCATACCGAAAACTTTTGCAAAAAATAATGTAATGTGCAAGACGATCATTAACTAAATTGTTAATGATCGTCTTGCACATTACATACAATCTAGAATGTTTCAGTTTCTGATTTCTCCCCACAAATATTTTGGAACAGTTATATCATATTAAAAAATCTACATGTAGTGTGGCCGTCCGTTGTGTTAACTGTTAATCGGCCGTTCACTGTTAATCGTGGCTGGGGGTGATAAGATCCACCCTATAACAAGGAATTGTGCCCTCATCATTGTTCGTACGTAAATCTTGCATACGAAGATTATGCCTTAAGGGCATGTATAATAGAATCCCACAGTCGATATTAAGTCTGCCACTTGATGAATTTAAACGAAAAATAAAACCGTTTAAAAAACTTTTAAGTTAAACGGTTTTATTTTATGTTTTTTTTTTTTTGTTAAATTTTTTTTTGTTAATATTGTATTGTCATCTAAATTAAATGTGTGTACCAAATTTCAGATCAATCTGACAACGGCAAGGTGCTTAAATTTCAATTTCTAATTTGACCCAAACAAACAAAATCCGTACGGGTCGAGCTAAATAAAACCGTTTAATTAAAAGTAACCTTACGGCTAAAGCATATTATACTATTGCAGAATATCTTGACGACGCCATTGTTTGGAGTTAATACTGTTGATACTCACGTAGGCTAAAACTGTATCAATATATTGTATTTCTTGCCGGTTTCTTCTCAACAGAAACTGCTTTCCGAACCGGTGGTAACTTACTAACGTATTAATTTCTTTGTAACATTTCGACGTTTCATAAGAAAGCGCCAGCGC